CCCACCCTTGAAAGTTACGCAGGACTATACAGTATACAGTGGGAATGATTCATATTTTTTTCTTCAGCTTAATCCTATAAAGGCTGGGGGGGGGGCTGAATCTATGTATTGCCTTAGAGTTCAGGTATAGGGTTGCAATGAGAGGTTATGGGGTGGCGTTAACCCCCCCCCCTTCCAGTCTATGGTGAACATTATAGCCATGTTCGGGTGTCCCAATAAACATGGAAATCAAGTCTAAACTTCTTAATTGTCTTTGTTCCACAAGGCATTATTCAGTAAACACAAATTAGTATATTTCCAGTATTAACTTCTGACACATAAACACTAGTCTCAGGATTTCTAAAATTCAAATCTGCAAAATCAATAACATTTTAAAGGATTAAATATCTCCGTCAATTTTGAAGAAAAAAACGAAGACCGCATTTTGGAAAGCCCAGTTTTTGTTACACTCCAACTTAGTCATTCATCAATATTGGAAATTCAAAATCAATTTTCCCAATCTGACAAGTGTAAAAAAGATTAGAATGTCATCTATGTTCTAATTATTTTTTCCCCTTATAATATATATTCAAAAAAGGCCAAATTTTTTATTTAAAAAAATATTGTTTATATAATATTGATAACAAAAATGAGGGATTCTTCCTTCCTACTGATTTTTGAACAAGATCAACTTGGACAGCTGAACTCGGATCTTGGTTCTCTGAGATTTTACATTCTCCACCTCCAGGGCATCCTCCAATGATTTTACTTTCTGCTTTAACCTGGTGTTCCATACTCGAAGTTTGTTGTTAAGCTGTTGTAAATCGTTGTTTGCAGCAGACAGTCTATTAAGTGTGGTCTCCTGGGTTGCATAGGAATGACCTGAAAAAAATATTCTTTTTAAATCTAGAAAAAGCTTTAAACTTTATCTTGATAATGAAATCTTCAAAAATCTCCCCCCTAGACCTGTCAAGGGGCCGGAACTCAGAGCTATCACACTTTTCGAATCTTAAACTGAAGAATGAAGACTGAAGAACAGGACAAAAATAGTTTGCTGTTTATGAAAAAAAATTCATATTATTGCAGTGCTGTAACTTAATTTTCCCTTTTAATTTCACAGAGTTTAGCTTGAAGAAGAGAAAAAGTAGTACTTAAGTAAGCAATTACAAGGTGATTGGACTGTACATGTAGTGTGTACCTTTAAAGTATCTTTGTTAAAATATTAAAGCAAAGGTCGTCCTACTCCAATCTTAACTACCTGGGCCTTCCGGTGTATACTTAACATCCACTGTATGGGCATTTTAAACATGTGGGAACTATCCACATGTGAACATTCATTCACTCATTATCAAACAGAACAGTGAACTGCTTTGTTAGTTAAATATGTTTTGAAATTATTTGTTTTTGATTATAACCTACAATATTTCAGAATTATGTAAGCCATCATTCACACTGGACTACATGTCCAGAAACCTCTACTTTTATGGCTTTTTTCGGCTAATGTAAATAAGTTAATTATTTTTGATTTAAAATTCTTTCCTATTTTGAATTGCTTTGAAAACAATGCCACTTAACCAGAATAAAATAATAAGAAAATTCCTTCATTGTCATTTGTTGTATCAATGCAATTTAAACAAACTTTTTCATATTCAATTAATTTTCTTTTATCCTTTCTATGTAATTTATTGTATTTTTGCAGGTTTTAACTTTTCTACATCGATGTTAAAATTTACTGAATAAAGTCCTGTGCTAAAATGTGATGTTTTATTTCAACAATCTTATACTTGTGCGACTTTTGCCTGATATCCAAGAAGCTGAATGTTCTGAACTTACAGTTTAAACTTTGCCCCCACCCCTCATAGGAGCTCCAAGGGGGGGGGGCAAAGTAAAAGAATTTCTTAAAGGAAGATTACAATATATAAGAATGGATACAAATTTTCAATAACAGACAATTTCGTAATATGAATATCATAACCCATAAAAAAAGTATGCCTGATCGTCTAGAAGCCAAATATTTTGAATTTACAGTTCAAATTTTGTCCCCCCCCCCACATTTCATTCTGTATACGCCCTTGAAAACCCCATATATTTTACAGTTTGTCGCACTTTTGGACCTGCAAATTTCCGTTTTTACTATAACCCCTCTCCCTTTGCACAATCACACAAATTTTCAAATTTGTTCAAATATCTAAGAAAAACCCATTTATTTTACCGTTTGTCCAAGTTTTTCACCTCTAAATTTTCAATTACCTAATACCTATATGTACACTGTACAGTCACACAAATCTTTTAATTTTTAAAGAAGTTTAAAAATGAATATAACATTTTTCGTCAAAATCAAAAAAAGTTTACATTTATCGAACTTTTTAAAACAAAAATTGAATCACATATTACCTTGAATTGCTGATGACTTGGGGTTAGAGGATGGTATGGCTCTAGGTCGTAGTCTTTTAGAAACCCTATTAAGGTCATCAGGAGAAAAATGGTCTGAGCATATCACACTCCATTTTTTCGGATTCCAGGAGGAAGGTTGGCTTGTAAACCATACTTCTCTTAGGTCTTTTTTCGGGAACGAAAAAAAAGATTTTATCTTGACAAGTACTATTATTTTCACTTGATATAACACTGCAGTACCTCATGTTCATACATCACAGGGCCCACTGTTTATCAATACAGCTGTACAACTTTCCTACTCTATGGACCCTGAACTTTCCTTCAGATATTAATTCTTTGTAAACAAAAAAAAAATATATTTTGAATAAAAAAAAATAAAAAACTGTATAAAAGAAACATTAAAAAAAAACATCATATGCCCCTAAAATAAACACAACAAATCTAGGGTCCGGTTTGCTATATCAGCTGGTAGGCCCATGGAAAAAAATTACCAAAATAAAATTTGTACTGTGGCCGAGTTCAGTGTAGATAGATAGATAGAATCATATCTATAAGCGGGCCGTGGACACAAAGAACATACACGTACATTGTACAGTGACTCACAATAAATGTTTAACTTAATTAAAGAAAAAAAATGACAGAATTATGTAAAACTTTCTATCCACGTCTTTGCAACATGATCACGTCCCACCGGTGTACATTGGAACATCCGAGCTGGGTCAACCTTTGCAGTCCTACTTTGAACTGTACCGCCAATTTACAATTACTAAAGTAGCAGAGGAGTGTGTGATGATGCAAATCTTTGATATTTCAAAATAAGAATATAAATTTCTACGACTTTGGGTAGCAAAAATATAGGGATTAGAAAATCAGAGTTTGTGGCAAAAATTTAAATTCCTTTAAGCTGTTAAATCGTTGCCATTGCTCCTCATAGTTCGTTCATTTACATAGTTTCTCTTCAGATTTACACATTTTCATAAATAGTGAAAGTGAAAAGGATTTGAAGTTTGCATTTCAATTCTCATGTTTTTAACTCTGAGCTGCCATGAACCTGTCTTTTTATTTTGTTCTTTTAGAAATATCTCGAATCAAGAAATGTTGTTTTCCCAACATGTTCTTCCAAATTACTAGAATATGAATTTTAAAATATAATATTTTTTTCAGCTACACGTCGAATTAGAATCAAATTTAGCTCCTGGGATGTAAAAAAGGTTAAGCCCCCCCCCTCCCCCCCCCAACCAGACAGATTTCTGTAAATTATCAGATTTCTGTAAATTATCGAAATTCAAATTTAATTTTTTTATTATGAAAAAAGAAAGTTACAGTTAGAGGGAACCATAAGATTAAAAGCGACCCTCTACATTAGAAAGGTGGTAATGCCCGGTTTACAACCATAGAGAATAGAATATATATTAGAGAGGAATTAAAAGAATCTCTCGGTATGAATTTTTTCAGTCCCTTTCAGTCTGAAAGGGAGTTCAAAGTGTACAAATCATGTAAATGTTCACAAATTATATGCAGTAGAGTACATTAATACAGTATGTTCCCTAGACTATTCATTTTAATTTCTAAATTTTTAAAGCTGTTAAATAAACTTTATAATGAATTAGGTGAATAAAAACCATCATTTGATTTATAGTTATAACGGAAAATCATTGTTTGTAAAGTGAAAGGCATATAGTCCATGTGAAATGATCATTGGTCAATTATGTAACCAGCCTATTTCATAATTTGGTTTTCTTTAAACATTAATTTTAGATTTTTTATAAAATGATATTCCAGGGCCCAAAAGATAAATATGTGAAGTACACCTGCAGTATGGAAACAGTACAACAAAATGGCAGTTTTACACTTTTTTCTAATAAATTCCTCTCTAATATATATTCTATTCTCTTTGTTTACAACGGTACCCTTAAAAGCTTTGTTCGATTAAGGATGAGTTAGGTATTCGCGTTTTTGTTTCTTTAAAGTGATTATTTTCATTTAAAGGAGAAACCATCAGATTTAAACACTTTTTAGTCAGGAAAACGACATTATCATCCATATTTTTGATTAGATTAACTTTACAAGGGTACCTTTGTAAAGTAGGCATTGCCATTTTTGCTTGAAGGTTACTTGAAATTACGCCATTATTCCCTTTAAGAAACAAGTTTGAATAAAGATTGTCTCTGAAGTCTCGTGGTAATTTAAGATCTATTCTATTTAGCTAGTGATCTTTGAACCCTAATTCTTATCTGGAGTTTATCAGTATCATTCCAACCTTATAGCGTTTGCAGTGAATATATATATATATATATATATAACTGGAATTGATTCATTAACAATCCCAATTTAATACTCTATATGTCAGTCAAAAATGTAAAATAATCAAATTTGATTAAAACTTCACGTGTATTTTCAACCTTAAAGGGACTGCAAAGGGAAAATGAAAGGGGGTGTATAGGCTGAAACCTGAGAATTTCAGGAGCTGATTGAGACCTATAAGACATCTATATGATGTTCTTGTCTCGAGAAATAGATTTATAAAACTTTGTGAAAATTATACCAAAACTTATGTAAGATTTTGTACAAGATTCGTAATATTTAACAGATCATATTCAACAAATATGCAACCAATCTCTGAAAACGACGATATCCCAGAGGAGTCTGAGAAACTCAGGTGTACTTCTATTATTATTTGAATTTAAGATTTTTAAATTTTAACAGATATAATTATTATTATTTATACGTCCAGACCATGTCACCGGCACTTCGACCAATGGCAGTGCAGTATTATTGTCATGTGCCTCCATCTGTATCACGTGACCAGTATACTGCACTTTCATTGGAGGGAGTTCTGGTCACGTGATACGGACGTATATTTTGCATATATACGTTTTGGTATAATTTTGATGTAGTTTTATGTTGATTTCTCGAGACAGGAACATCAGATAGATGCCTTATAGGTATCGTTCAACTCCTGAGATTCTCAGGTTTCAACCTATACCCCATTTCATTTTACCTTTACATTCCCTTTGAAACAAAACAGTACTCTAACAGCCAAGACCAACATTATTGAAAAATTTAACAAATTTCTTTTTTATATTAAAAAAGAATAGATGAATAGTAAAATTCTTAATTCAAATGTGAATTAGTGAACTACTTCAGTTTTATTAAACTTGAGGATTTTCTTTCCACTTCAGTGACGATGTTTACAAAAATGGCTGTTAGAGGATTTAAGAGAGTAAATTGGGTAAGTTTTATATTTAATTTTGAGGATATTAAAAGAAACTGCAGACGAACTACCATGGTATTCTCATTCTCAAATGGTATCTTCAGGATTAACCGCAAATGATGACTGAATAGAAGACATGGAACTCTTAAAATACGACGATCCCAAAATTAAATTCTTTCTATGTATAGTAAACAGCCAATTCCGGTCCAATGCTAGCCAAAAATAAAACAGAGATACGTTTGCTGAAACAAGATAATAATTCTATTTTTTTGAAGAACTTTACAGAAAGAAGTTTTTGAGTAAAAAAACTCGTTAATGTAAAAAATATCAGGGTTTTAACGAAATATTTCTCTGTATAGTAACAATGTGTAAACACATCATAAAGTTTATACACACGTGCTCAATCTGAAGATAGATATTTCAGAATCTTTAACTTGTTGAGCATTTTTGATGCTGGTTAATACCAAGGTTGTATAATAAGGTTAGATGCGCTCCAATGTAAGTAAAGACGACTTGTATAGCAATGAACACTAATACCCCTAATATGACGTCACTGCTTAATTTGAATAATAATAAATTTTGCCGCTCACTAAATTTAAACCAACTCAAAAATTGAAAAGTTGAATTATAAATGCATTTTTTAGCTTTAAACTTGTTATCACAATCAATATTTGTTTAATGGGATGATTGTTACTTAAGTATCAGTGATGTCATATTAGGTATTAAAGTTTAAATTGCTATGAAAGTCGTTTTCACCTAAATTAGAGCGCATCCAGAGTATTCAACCTAATATACAACCTTGGCTAATACTGTAAGCGACACACAACCAGGGGAGTGGTTCTTATTTCTCTTTCTCCCGTTTTAAAATAGAATTGTACCTTCCCCTAACAAAGATCTATCTATATGTACTATAAAAACGTGATATTGTATAATATATTGTATATTGTATATATTGCAAAATGAGAACCTGAGTTATTATTTAGAAAACGATTAACTCAAAGACGACATTTATTCTCAACATTTATTTCTTTAGAAATAAAAACGGTGTAAATCAAGCATCCAATTCTTTGTCGATAACCTCTGGTCTAATACCGATCAGCAGGCTGTACAACAACTAAATTAAAATAAACGATTTTTTTTAATTCGATTGATATCTCTGAACATGAATCTGTCGATTCTGAGGTTTCAAAAGTGAACCAAGAAAATCTTAATTGTCATTTATATTTATGGACAATTATTTTGAGAAGAACCAATGGTCTTTAGGAAAATTAGTTTGACCAAACCAAACCAACTTAAACTAGCTTTACTTATAAAAATCACTTCATGAAATGTTATTAAGTAAATTATATTTAGAGTTTTTCAAATTTCTTTAATAGTTTTAAAAAATGTATTCTAAATATGCAATTTTTATGAAAAGTAATGCAAATTTTTAAGGGCTTATAATGCAACAAGGATTCCTTAAATCTTTTAAAATCCTGACTTTACTATTATGATTGATAAAGCTTTACAGTGAGGTTGGACCCCTAAAAATGTAAAAAATAAAACTGACTCAGTCAAGTTATGACTGATTTCAATGAACATAAACAAAGTACAATTGTGCAGTGCAGACAGAAACAATTGGCTTTATAAGTTGATTTTTAAGCGACAAGTAGAGCTGTTAGCTTCACAGCATTAGCAATATCAAATACACTTCTGATTTTTGAAATGTCGTCTTTCTATTCCACAGTTTTATGGGTCACACTGTAAAGCTGTCACCTAATTCCGGCATTGATTCTTGATCCTCTTCCCACTCTATACACCTAGTCAAGATCAGACAAGATTAAACAACTTTTTTACAAAGATTTTATTGTTAGTCAAATCTATATTTATTAGTAATCTCCGTTTGTTTGTCTATTTGGATGTTCTATTATAACGCACGTACCCCTGAACCTAATTGCCTTTAAGTTTTATTGGTAAACTCGGAAGAACGACAGGAATGTTCTTAGCCTGGTGTTAAACTTTGAAGTTGAGTGAGTTGACAACGCTGGGTTCCCAAGCTAGTACATTTATAAAGCTCCAGGGGCGGATGTGAGCAATGAGCATTAAAGCACTTGCTCACCCCTGAAAAATTCCTTCCCCCTGAACCATTGAGGAGCCTTGGTGTTTTTTGATAATAAAATAGCTTACCCATCATCATCCCTCCACTCTGAACATCTAGAACACAATTTTAATCCAATTTCAGAAGTAATATCGGGTTGTCCCTCTGTTTGTTTGGATGACATATCTCATCATCCCTTAGACCGATTTGCCTCTTATTTAATTAAGAAACTCGGTAGAACTTTTTGGGAATTTTTTATCTTGGTTTCAAGTTGAGAAGGAACTTTCATAAGGAAAATTTAGTTGTAAGGGAAAGATTGGTAACCAAGCTAGTATTTATATAAAGTAATACAAGCCATGATTTTGCTCTTCAAGTTCTAAACAGGAAAGCTTTATATAGTACACTTTATGAGCACAAATATAAAAGAAACAAGTTTAATTATAATATGCTACCTTAAACTTTTAAGTTTAAAAAAGTATAATTTTTTTTATCCAAATTTTTATTTCTATGAATCAACTTACTTCTTTGGCTGTACGAAATCTACACAGCGCATTTTCACAATGTTAAAGAACATCTAAAACAAAACATAAACCAACTAATAACTAATACAGCAGTACTTCTCAAGGGTGGTAAATAGTAACAACAGGATTAAAAGAAGAGTTAAACAAAAGTAAAAGGATTAAATATTAACAACAGGATTAAAAGAAAGTTAAACAATATTAACAGAATTAAATATTTTTAAATCAAAATATTTTTATTCAGTAAAAAATTAAATGCAAACATTATTGATTAAGATTTGTACGATTACATATACATTTTATGTTTGGTTTTTAAACATTTTTACTATTCTTATCAATTAAAAGGATTCAGTACATTATCTATTTTTATAGATTTTGTATATCATTATACGTCAGGCAGATTTTCGTTTTAGAATGCCAGTGTAGAGCCTGGCAACAGCACTTTAATGAACTATTTGTGAAACATGCATAGTAGTTTCCCACTTTTTCAGTTGATTTAACTGGACATAACCGGCACTTCTTGTCCTCGCAATATCCAGACATAGGGTTATCCATATTTGACGGGGTAATGGATCAGATTTAGATATAGGACTGGGCTCGGATTCAGTGTCAGACTCCTCAGAATCACCGGGGTTAGGGTTAGGTTGGGTTTTAGGCTCTGGATCAGGTTCAGTTTCAGACTAGGAGCTTGCATGTTTATTATTCCCGTCCAGCTGAGGAATGGGGGATGATACTAAAGATTGAGAGCGTGTCTTTCTCTTCTTTTGGGGGGTTAAAGTTGAGATTTCTTCAACATTTGGCGGAATCCCAATGGACTGGGGGCCTCTCATGGACCTCTCCTCAGATTGCGGAACTTTCAAATTAAATATCAACAACATGATTAAAAGAAGAGTTAAACAATAGTAACAGGATTCAATAGTAACAACAGGATTAAAAGAAGAGTTCAACAATAGTAACAGGATTAAATAGTAACAACAGGATTAAAAGAAGAGTTAAACAATAGTAACAGGATTCAATAGTAACAACATGATTAAAAGAAGAGTTCAACAATAGTAACAGGATTAAATAGTAACAACAGGATTAAAAGAAGAGTTAAACAATAGTAACAGGATTAAATAGTAACAACAGGATTAACAGAAGAGTTCAACAATAGTTAACAGGATTAAATAGTAAAAACAGGATTAAAAGAAAACTATTTAGATCACTTATGAGTTAAAAAAATCATTGCATCCAGAAAAAAAGAGAATATTTACTAAAAATATTAAAAATAGTATTTCACCTTCCCGACATCATCAGCGGATGTACTTCCGACATCCTTCAAACAATTGTAGAACAACTCATCACATTTACAGAAACACTAAATGGTTGAATTGAAGAGTTAAAATGACTTATTGTGAATATGTATTTTTAATAAAAATATAAGATATGATAATGCTATAGAACACAATTTTTCCAATAAAATTTCATAACAGAAAATTGACTCTTAATCTACTTTTGTAAAAAATTGTTCTATTGGGACCTTCCATGCAAAGATGGCAATGCTTAATTTTCCTCTAAAAGTTTTGACATGATCAAATATGAATTAGAAATCAATGTTTATAATTTTGAAGAGTGATAATTTTCAATTGTGGTTTCTTTACAATAGTGAATTGTGCATTTCCACTCTAGGAAAACATATAGAAATTAAAAAGAATTAAGCACTTTATAGACCTATAAAAATGACAATATCTTCCATTATATTGATTTTAAAGTGTATCGTTGAAAGTCGGGCTTTGCAATCTTTACTGGAGGGTCCCTTGAAATTAAGCTTACTGTTGCTATAAAAAGACAAAAACAATAATAAATGTTAGAACCTGTGTGTATGGTGTAGGGTTTCTTGTAGAGAGTCGTGGTAAATCATATGGACAAAAATCATGCTGCCGACAACATCTTGAGAATTTTTTATGGTTTACTTATTTCCTTTTTTTAAATTTTCTTAACACTTGTTGCAGTGTTTTTATTTTATTTTTATAAATTTGACCCAATATGCTATATTTGATTTCTACCTGTCTAGCTGAAGTCTGGACCAAGATGCTATATTTGATTTCACCTGTCTAGCTGAAAGTCTGGACCAAGATGATTGAAATGTTTTGCAATATTTCCTGCACCGCACCACCTACAGTTATAACAGATTGTTTTATATCTATATATAAATTTGGCTTGTCTGTCTGTTTGTCTGTCTGTCTGTCTGTCTGTTTGTCTGTCTGTCTGTTTGTATCCAATAAACGTCAAAACGGCTGAACCGATCGGGCCCAAATTTTTTGTGGGACATCTAGGGACCCCAGGGAAGGTTTATGAATGACTGAATTTTTAAATATTTGTCTCCATAAAAATTCGATCGTCATTAAAATTTTGAAAATTTTGAAAATTCACGAAATTTTTGTGAAAATCCGCGAATTATTTTTGTTTTGTTTTACGATGTACACAAAGAGAACATGTTCACAATTAATTTAGAAGATGGGCGCTTCGCGCCCTCTAAGGCTAGTATTTTATATTCCAGGATACTTTGCACCCCTTGTTTCCTTAATTGCAACCGCTTTTTTCTAAGTATTATTAAAAATAAGAAGATGAAACATAGTATATTTTTCTGTTTTATTTAGTGGATTTTTAAAAATAAAATTTTTTAACTAAAAGCGTTGAATCTTTTTTATTTCGAAAAGCCTTAAACCTTCCCTGTGGTCAATGCCAAAAAAAAAGTCTGATCAATTCAGTCGGTTTTACGTTTGCTGAATACAAACCAGCGAACTAACAAACAAACAAACAGACGAGGCAAACCTACATTGAGATATAGATTTTCTGGTTTTGATTGTTTGTTTGAAAATATCTGTAAATTATTTTCAAATTTCTTCAAAGACAGTCGAGCGTGATCTTGAAAAGTTTTTTTCAGACTTAAAACATTTGATTTGCATTTGAAAATGTTGGTTGGTTGTATGATAAGAAAAACTTACAAAGTTTTTGGAATAATACCGCTTGAAGCTGAGTGAAAAAAGGAAGAAGGAGAGAAATCTTGCTTATTCTCATCCTAACAAACATATTTAACAATTATTCAAAGGGACTGATTACTCGCCACAAACTCAAATTTTCTCATCCTTATATCTTTTTAACTTGGTGTTATACACCTTTGATACTTCTTTGATCCAGTAGAATTAATATCGAAGCTTTGTTTACGACATTATATTTCAAAGATTTAGGATTAGAAAATCTGAATTGATGGCGAGTTATCAGTTAATTGAGTTAACTTTGTTTTAAAGTACTTTTTATCAAATCCTTGCAGATTTTTACCTGGGAATCTTTTTTCTCCTCCAGTTGTATTTTATGCGCTGACGGGTGAAAATTACATCTTTTTATCAGATCTAGCATATCCATCAGCTTTAGCTTTACTACTTTCACATCACTAGAATTCAGATAGTTTTATCAGATCTAGCATATCCATCAGCTTAAGCTTTACTACCTTCACTTCATTAGAATTAGATAGTTTTATCAGATCAAGCATATCCATCAGCTTTAGCTTTACTACCTTCACTTCAAATTCAGATAGTTTTATCAGATCAAGCATATCAATTAGATTTAGCTTTACTACCTATACTTTATATTCAGATAGTTTTATCAGATCTAGCATATCCATCAGCTTAAGCTTTACTACCTTTACTTTATATTCAGATAGTTTTATCAGATCAAGCATATCCATCAGCTTTAGCTTTACTACCTTCACTTCACTAGAATTCAGATAGTTTTATCAGATCTAGCATATCATCAGCTTTAGCTTTACTACCTTCACTTCGAATTCAGATAGTTTTATCAGATCAAGCATATCCATTAGCTTTAGCTTTACTACCTTCACTTCAAATTCAGGTAGTTTTATCAGATCAAGCATATAACTTTCCTAACTTCATTTTACTCCACTTAAAATAGTTAAATTTTTAGACTCGACTTGTGACCTAGCTAAATGCTTAAAAAATAGACTGTTTGTTGTTCAGATACCCAAATATTCGAAATTAAAAAAATTGCCTATAATTTACACCTGTGCTGCCATCTTAGAAAGATTGCAGTTAAAAAATAAGCAGCAAAATAATGGTTTAAAATTTTTCCAAAAACTGTTAAACCTCTTGAATTTTACACCAACTCCATTAGTCCTCGGACAAGCTGCCTCAATGTCTACTTTTTAGCTTTTACCGTGCACTATCCAGGATAAGAGGGGGGGGGTAGGTAGGTTTACCGTGCACTATCCAGGATAAGAGGGGGGGGGGGGGGAGGTAGGTTTAAACTTTATTCTGTTAAAATTGAAGTACCTGCCAATTTGTTTGAACATTTGAAGCTTTTCTTCCACCACTCGTGCCTCGCTTTCATGAAAAAGTTAATTTATGTTTGTTTTTATTTTTTCTTAAGTTTTGCCCTTTCACCCATTTCATGCTGAAAATAAAAGACGTAGACGTTTTTTAAGAAAATTTGGCATTTATTGAGATGGAGATAGTTATGAAAACATATACAACCCTCTAGCTGTATATTGAGAAGGAAAAGATGTAAATAGTTATGAAAACATATATAAACCCCTAGCTGTATATAGAAAAATAAGTTTGTTTACTCGTTCTTTTTTACGAGGAGGCAAGTTAAAATCTGATTATGTGAATCCAATATCAGATCCGCAACCGTCTTCCCAGAGTGGAATAAATATCGTCTTTCTCCAGGATTCAAGACCTAGAGGAATCACATGGGCAATTGGGCATCGTTAATTGAGGTCCGTTTCCAGAGATTTATGGTTTTTTTGACATTAAAATTGGTGCACAAAAGTTGCAAAATTGAATTATCTGTAAGTTTGCTTAAATATCATTATTGTCTAGACGAAAAACGCGTTTTAAAAAATCGTTTTGGTTAATATCTTTGGTCAGAGTAAAAATATTGCATATTGTAATAAAAGCAAACTTATCTAGCACGCAATATTAAAATAGGATTCAGTTTTATTAATTTCTGACGGGTATCGTGTTGAGGACGAGGTCCGTTTTTTTCGGTTTAAAGAGGCTATATAAAAATCAAAGATATCATTTTGCCACTGAGCAAAATGAGATTTACTGTAAGTTTGTTTTTATTACATTACGCAAAATACTAAAGATATTATAACCATATTTTTCATATCAATTTATAATAACGATTTAATCATAGAAAAAAATGTTTAGGTCAGATTAAAATTTGTTCAGACTGAAATGAAATCAACCTTATTAAGTATACAATTTTGACAGAGGCATATTCAGGGGGGGGGGGGCTATTGGAGCTCAGTAGTCAGTACCTTCCCCTGGACCAGTAAAATCAAGTTCTCTGGAGAAACCCCCCCACCCCTGGAAAACTTCCTGAGTACGCCCCTAAATTTTGAAATAGGTGAAACTTCTCAAACTCATGTGAAGCCTCTTGGAAGTAAAAAAAAACTTTAACATATAAAAACGGACCTCAAAATGATGCACATCTTTAATTATACAATATTTTTAATAGGTCTACTTAATGATTATAATATGTCATTCAAGCTAGGGGCGTTTATAACAAGATGTTTTTATACTTGCATGAGAAGTGTTAGGGGATGGCGGAAATATGTTACTAGGGATTCTAAGGGAAAATTTACAGCTATTTAAGTTCTTTTGATTAAAAAGGGGATTAGGATATTCTTATGATATGGATTTCCCCCCCCCCCCCACCATAAAAATACGCTCTTGCTTTCAAGGTTGCGAAAGGCGGAAATGAAAAAATGTAAATACCTTTTCTGAAAATGTTCCCACACCTGCCACAGATCTGAATTTGGAAAAAACTTCATCAGCTGTAATCGTAGCAATGTCAATTTGGTTAATTTTAATTAAAAACTGGTTTGGAAATCATGTAAGTGATCTTGAATATAAGACTGAGGGTTCACTTAATGCCTGTACAACAAATCTTGATAGTTTTCTAGTTTGTTTAAGTGCAGTACGGAGAAAATTAATGGCCGCAGTTTGTTAATTATATATAAAAGGTGTTACTAAAAAAAACACAAGATGGTAGAATTCAAAATTAAACAACAAAATGGGACAGGATGCTTTAAGACTAATTGATGGAAAAAATAATGACAAAAACACCTTAAACCACCTTGGAAAGGCTTGAATACAAAATAGTAATTAAGCCAGTGATGGTACACTGGTCGAAACCCTTTTTTGTCATATTTAATACCAAAAAAAATGAAGATCGCTTGAAAAGTATTCTGTTTTGACGATCTTAGGAGTAAAGAAAACCATTAAATTTAAAAAAAATTGGTTGGGTGATGAATTTGATAATTAAAAACATGCGCATGAGAATAATCATTGAATATTGTGAGTTTGTATTTTCAATTTAATTGTGGCAAACATTTAAAATACTAGATTCAAGCCATACTTAAAATACTGGGCACCAGAAAATACAGATGAACAAACTAAAATCAAAAGGTGTTGAAATCTCCTGAATAGTGAAAAAGAGATTTTCAACTCCAGGCTGGATTATTATCTTTCAACCACCAATATGGCAAAAGTTTGGCTTTGAGAACTTTCTGAGTATTTTTAAGGACATGGCTGCCAAGAGAAAAAAAACATGATTAACCCTGAATAAAGTTACGAGAAATTATTTTTGTAGGCGTTTACTGGCCAGCATGTCCACTTTAGGTCATTTTAGTTAAAAATCGATAAAGAACACCAATGAGTGATATAAAACTATCAAAGTCATGTGAAAACCTTCAGATTGGTACATTAGATTGGTACATTAGATTGATACATTAGATTGGTACATTTTTAATCTTTCAATTTGCCATATACCATTTACAAATAAAAAAATGATCACTTTGTGTGGTTAATTAGTAAACCCTTTATGTAGAAAAATGTTCTTATGAAATCAAAAGAGGTGACTGTACTTTGAATTTTGTCATTGCAATTCTAATCTATAATTGATATTAAATTAAATATTAACAGGGGTCTGTTCTAGAGAACGATTTTTGGACCCCCCTCCTTATCAATTTTGTACATGACCACTTACTTTTCAGCAAAATTATTATTTTTTTTTATTATTTTATGGTTAGGTTTTGTTGAGAAAATTTCTTGGCCGAGCGCTGCGGCTTGGACAGGCTAGGGGGCCGAGCGCATGCGGCTAGGACAGGCTAGGGGGCCGAGCGCTGCGGCTAGGACAGGCTAGGGGACCGAGCGCCGCGGCTAGGACAGACTATGGAGCCGGGCGCTGCGGCTACAACATCAATTATATCCATGTTACATACATATGAGATCCATGTACAAAATTGAGAGAAGGGGGGAGGAGAGTAGGGGTAGGGGTCCAAAAATCGTTCTCTAGGATTCCTAGGATAGAGTGTATCGATTGTCTGTTTTCATTTCAATAGTAAGACAATTTGATTAACATTGCCTGTAAATACTGATATCACGAAGACTAAGAAAATCATTTTAAAATATTGTAAACATAAACTGAACTGTACAGTGAGTACGATGTGTACACTGGTCACTGGGTCAATCTGTACAATACTGTTGAGTACTCATTATGCTTTTAGTCAAGAAATCTATAGACCAGGAACCGCCATATCTGATGCGTCAAATCTGTGTACTGCAGTGGGAGGAGATCAAAACAAAGAATTCAGGGGCAAAGGAGGGGGGATAATAAGATATATTGCTATCGTAGACATGAATAATGATTATAAAACGCAAGAATATTTGTTACTTACGAGCAAAGGCAGGAGAGGGAAATGATAATTACCAAGATTATATTCAAATTGTGAAACTTTATATGGTAAAATTAAGATGTTTTAATAAAAGCAAAAACAAGTCTTCATTCCATTGGAATCAATGCAAAAAGGGACAGTAGACATAATTCAATGTCTAACAGAACTGCACACGTAATTGTGTCCCATACAAAGATGTATGCCTGATTCACCTTTAAAAACTTTTTCGGGAAATGCACATTAAACATTACTCATTTATAAATAAAACCTTCTAACATAAAATTCGAGAAAAAATGAAAAAAATGATATTCATATTTCAATACATTTATTTATTGACATTTTATACATTCTATTTTATTGAAAGCAAATCGTTAAACTTTTTAATTTTATCACATCATAATTCTAAAACATAAACTGAGCAGTTTGCTTCATTGTTCTGACATTTTGTTTACTATTTTCATTCAAGCTTACATTAAGTTGTTGTCAGTTTACTGAAAAATCTTATATTTACAAAAAGTTTCACAACCTCCCGAGGTCATCTTTTGTTCATTGCAGTAATAGTTGAATTTTTTTTTCTCGATAGGATCATGCCCTCTCTCCAGAGACTCTCCATGTATTTTTAAAAATATTTTTTGAAATATTTTCTCATATTTTTCAACTTCTTCCAATAGATCTTTGGATAGATAAAACAAGGATCCTCTCTATTTTAAGTCTATCCAATCACAGTTTGTTTTCTCCTCGCCGACTCTGACAAGGCCGGGAACCCTGTTTTGCAATTTAGCGATTCATGAATTCCTGGGGAAAGGGGTTTATTAAGAATTTTTAGATATTTTCAATATTAGTTCTGCCACTTATATGATATATTGATTTAATACTGTAGTACAACTATTACATTAATCATGTTCACCGCAAATATTGTTTGATGCAAGGTACTAATCCAAGGAAAGTTATTTCAGAGGGGTAGGTATGTTTTGTACTGCAGTGTACTGTCTTTGGGCGGAAAAGTACACTTCATTTGTAAACATGGCAATTCCTCTTATATTCCTTGGCCTGGAGCAGTACTTTGTTTTATTATATGTTAATACAATTTAATTTTTAAACAAAGCTGTGTGAATATTCCCTTAGTTGAATTCTTTATATCTATGGAGAATAAAAGAGAGGGAAACGGGGTTTGTTAACATTTAACGGTGACATATTGGAATTGCATGATGGTTTTAATGCAAATAAACAACAATTAGTAAACAGTGATGTCACTCCACATTAACTGCATGCTATCCATGGAGGGGTGGGGTGAAGAGCCGCCATGAGCCCCGCGAAATGACCTCCAAGCCCCACAAAACTGTCTCTGTGCTACTTCTTCAAGCGTCACGTGAATTACAAACAAACAAACAACCTAAATTAATAAACAGGGATAATAACAGTGTGAAACAAGGTTGTATAAGGTTGCGTACTTTCGATGCGCTCCAATGTACAGAAAATGTCGTCTCCTACAGTTATACCCTAAATAAGCCATACATCGAAAGAATTCATCAAAGGTAGTATTTTTCACTTACTAACAATGGAATCTTGCAGATATTTAGTATTTTTAAATAAATGATTATATGGAGCTCTGTAAAGCTGTTACCGGCTATTTCTTTATTTTCGCAAATACTGAGATTTACGTAAAATATATAGTGAAAAAGTGTCAAGACGACATTTGATAAATTCTTTCGATGTATGGCTTATTTAGGGTTTAACTGTAAAAGATAGAAACCTCATATGACATCAGTCTCGCCTCTATAATCAGTGACGTCATATGAGGTTTTTATATTCCGATTTTCCGTATATTGAAGCACGTGCTTCACGAGTAATCAACCAATGCGAACTTTAATTCATACGGACTGATTATTTCTCTCTCATGTGGAATTTTTGCATTGATAGCAACCCTAACATTTACATCAGTTTAGTTAAAAATAAAAATGAAAATTCAAAAAAAACTTTACTATTTATCTCTTTTTACTCTAGTCTTTCCAGTTTTTCAAAATTTTAGACGCGCGTAAATATTATGAAAATAATTTTTGTCACCTTTATTGAAAAAAAAGATATATATAGTATATTAGTACAAAAATTGATTATCATCATATAAATGTGTTTTGTTCAATCATACATATATAATTCTACCTACAGGGTGTCCCACGAAACATGACACTTTGTGAATAGTTTAGAATGTCTTCTTCCAAAATTTGTTATTATGTTTGATACGTAAGACAATAATATAAATATTATAATGGGAGTCATATTATACTAAAATGTATTTCAAAGGAAAATATATTTGAGCAAAAATTTTTTTTAACGAAATAAACTGCAAAAAGTCTTTAATATCTAATACAGTATATGGAAGACGACATTCAAAACTTTTTTCCTTCCGTCATGATCATGGGACACCCTGTATTAGATGAGCACGGTAATCAAATTCAGAGATTTAAAAGAAGCTTTTACATGCATTTACTTTTGGGATTCAAAATTTGAATTTAAAGTTTTTAGGGAAAAGGAAGAATAGGTTGCTATCTTTTAGTTATTATAATAATTAAACAAGTGAAGAAAGATTTTTAAAATAAGGAAATCAGCTATTTCTAAATCGAAACTCCTTAAGGCTCAATAGAATCAGAAACTGAAGTTTTTTTTTCAAAAATTTGGAACTACTATATTTATGTAAATCACGAACTATACAAATTAAAGGGTTGTAATTATAATTTCAAGTGACCTTCCCCTATTCACAACGGTACATTCAAAACCTTTGGATGAACATTGAGGACAGAGATTAGTGTATTTATCTCTTAAATTTTATGTGTGAAATACCGTAAATCTGAAATGTATTGGCTATAAGAGTACTTGGTGAACTCAACGCCATGGTTGGCGTCACATTTTATACAAGAAAATAATGAATATTTATATTCAGCTACTTCTATAAAGTAAATAATATTAATTCTTTATAAATATAAAACAGGTTGCAAACAAGTTTTCCAACAACTACATAAGCGTTTCTGTAGATAAACAAGGAAAAGTCTGTGATCCTTGATCAGTCAACAGTTTCAAGGGTACCATTGTGAATCCTTGATCAGTCAACAGTTTCAAGGGTACCGTTGTGAATCCTTGATCAGTCAACAAATTCAAGGGTACCATTGTGAATCCTTGATCAGTCAACAGTTTCAAGGGTACCGTTGTGAATCATTGATCAGTCAACAGTTTCAAGGGTACCATTGTGAATCCTTGATCAGTCAACTGTTTCAAGGGTACTGTTGTGAATCCTTGATCAGTCAACGGTTCGAAGGATACCGTTGTGAATCCTTGATCAGTCAAGGGTTTCAAGGGTAGCGTTGTGAATGCTTGATCAGTCAAGGATACCGTTGTGAACAGGGGATGCCCCTCTTTAAATGGAAGGTGACTTGAAATTACTCAGAAAACACAGCATCTCTTTAAATCAGAAACTTCAGTTTATAAATCTAAGAGTATTTCTTGGATCAAAGATTGAAGTCCACTTTTAAAAATAAAGCAAGTTATTCCTCTTCAAGACCTTTTAATCTAAAACACAAATTTTTGATCGTATTGAAATAAGGCTTCTGACGGTGTTGTATTGAAATGAAAGCCAAATTTCTTGAGTGGGGTAAAACATTTTTGCATCGACTATTTTCTTAAAAGCTGTTTTTCTTTTAAATCACTTAAAATGTAACCACGAAATTTTTTTCTTATAAATGTTGTATGAGTTGTGCCCCCAAAAAAGCAATACGGTTCAAAATTAAGAGGATTTCTTTCATTTAAACGTTCTTCAGTTTCCTTCTCTTGGTGGTTTACACAGCTGTTGAGAGGGTTATATCAATATTTCTTGAGCTTCTCGCGTATTTCTGGAACACATGACAATTATCTTTTTGAATATTATAATTTTAACATATTCGAAATACCCTTTTCTCCAAAATATGCTAAATAAAATAAAAATTGTCATCTAACTTTGGACAGGGCATACAATTAGAATTGCGTTGTGTGCCTAAAAGAGGTTGCTTTTCTGTATCCTCAGTCCACTCTAGACAACTGCAGAAGGTTCCTTATCTTGAGTTCCCGACAAGGAACATTTTTTAACGAAAAATTGTTTCTTAGTTAACCAATTTGGAAGACGACATTATAGTGTGTAATCAACAAGTATCGATTTGTTACGATTGTTTTGTAAACAAAATAAGGTTTCCTGTCAGAAGATTTATCTCTCACACTGCATCTAAATATGAAAATGTGCACAGTTTTGTTAAGAAATATATTTTTAAGATTTTTATCAATCAAATTGATCCGATTGCAGTCGTTCTTTTATTTATGTAAAATTTCGTCCAAAATTTTGGATGCATATTCAGAAAAATAAAAAAGTTAAGACCCTTAAAGAAATATTTAACATTGGTTGGACAATAAGTCATTTTCGGTGTGTTAATTAAGTCATTTTCGATGTGTTAATGTTAAAATTTAATAATAAAAAACACATATTCGTAAAAAAAACTTTTGCTAATTCACTATATATATTTTAAATGCCGATAAATTACCTTCGCTGCTGAACAAAATTAACGCAGGGAACTTTAGCAATATTGAAAAATATCTAAACAAAACATTTTTCATATTTGCAAAAATCTGATGAAGGTCTATGCTAGATGTAGAAATGTGGCAAACTGCACAATTAAACTAGAATATTTCTGATAAGATATTATTGTCATTTAAAGACTAAAGAATGTTAATGCTTTTTAGATTTATGGTTCAATTATTAGCACAAATTATTATCAGAGATCGGAACTTCAGTGTGGAGCATTGTTAATCTTGAACGCTTGATCTTGATATCCAATGTGGGAATTTTGACAAGTAAGATTGATCCGCCAAGAGTTATCCCTAGAGATCGATCCTTGATCTTGAAATTCAAAGCACGAAAATTCTGACTTCAGAAAGAATAATGATTAAACCATATTTAAAGATTAAAAACAAAATTATACCTTCCCGACATCTTCCGTAGATTTTGAACCAACAGCTTTCAGACAATCATAGAAAACTTGATCACACTCACAGGCACTCTATGTAATACAAAGTACACTCACAGGCACTCTATATAGTACAAAGAAGAGGAATCTTCTAAACACTTACCATAGTATAGGGAGCAGGGTTGGATTTGGTGAGTCCTGGTAGATCAAACGGACAGAAATCATGAGCACGACAGCATCTAAAATATTTGTAAAAATTAAGAGTAGAGAAAACTTAACATTTTTTTTATAAATTCGCGCATTCTCTGTAGAGATAGACAAAAAATTAGCGAACACAAGATCAACTCTGTGGTTGTTCATGATTGTTTGATTTGCCTTTATAAATATACGCCAACATTGAAAATATTACCTCACAAACCTCTTTTCTTTTATTTTTAAACTGATAAGTATGGACAAATAAGCGGTGATTAATTCTAGAAAATGTCAGCGATGATACAGTGAAACCGTTTATAACGAATACATCGGAAGAATTTATTAAATGTCGTCTTGACAATTTTTTAATGAGTGTAATACTATATTACGTAAATTTCAGTATTAACGAAAATAAATAAATAGCCATGAATATGCGGGAACAGTTTTAAAAAGTGCCATATAATCATTTAAGTAAAAAAACTAAATATTTGCAACATTCCATTATCAGAAAGTGAAGAATACGACATTTGATGAATTCTTTTTATGTATTCGTTATTAAGGGTTTCACTGTATTAATCAAGAAGTTAATTAAGAAAGTTAATTATGAAAATTTGAAACACTAATTATTGTGAATCTACCTGTCTAGCTGATAGTCCGGTCCTAGCTGACTGTACTGTTTACCTGTCTAGCTTATAGTCCGGTCCTAGCTGATCTACCTGTCTAGCTGATAGTCCGATCCTAGCTGACTGTACTGTTTACCTGTCAAGCTGATAGTCCGGTCCTAGCTGATCTACCTGTCTAGCTGATAGTCCAGTCTTAGCTGACTGTACTGTTTACCTGTCTAGCTGATAGTCCGGTCCTAGCTGATTGTACTGTTTTGCAATGTTGTTACGGCCACACCATCTTTAAATTGATAAACTGTGGATAAGTATCAGTTCTCATAAAAATATTTACATTCTTCTTCATCCCTTCTATCCTAACCTTCGTAACCCCTTCCATCCTAACCTTCTTAATTCCTTCCATCCAAACCTTCGTAATCTCATCCATTCTAATCTTCTTGATCTCTTCCATCCTAACCTTCCTCAAGCCTTCCAACCTAACCTTCTTTATCCCTTCCATCCTAACCTTCTTTATCCTTTCCATCCTAACCTTCTTCATCCCTTCTATCCTTACCTTCTTTATCCCTTCAAACCTAACCTTTTTTAACTCTTCCAACCTAACCTTCTTTATTCCATCCATCCTAACCTAATTCATCCATTCCATCCTAACCTTCTTTATCCCATCCATCCTAACCTAATTCATCCTTTCCATCCTAACCTTCTTTATCCCATCCATCCTAACCTTCTTTATCCCTTCCATCCTAACCTTCTTAATCCCTTCCATCCTTAAAAAACTGATTGAACTTACAAAGTATCTTTCACTATAATTTTAGTAGCCGTGAACATTTCTCTAAAAGGGAGAGCAGTATCAAGAATAGATTTCTCTCCGGTGTCAGCAAAACTAGAATAATTCAGGTTTAACAGTAAGTATTAAGCTGTTTTTCATATTTAAGTAATTCGATAATTAATAGTTGGTGTATTGAAAAAATATTGACGTTTTAACCATTTTTCTTGCAGATTGGAAAAGAAAAGAAAACTAAAATTAATTTTTTATTCAGTGCTTAGAATTCATTTAATTTTGATGTGGATCCGGATCCTTAATGAATTTAGATCCGGAAAAATATTATCTATGCCGCTACTTTATACGCAGCCACCATTTGTGGAAAAAATGTCAGTTTGACAAAGGTTCCCTTTAAACCTCTTTTCTAGTACAATATGAGAAAATTATCGTCGTTTTTTCCTTGTCAAATGTATTCTTAAATCCTGACAATTTCCTTAATTTTCTTTGCAGCAAATCCGCATTCTGCATGTCACTTTTACCAAGAAACCACAATTTAAATTCACAAACTTTCAGTTGTAAAAATTAAATCTCATTTATCCTTGATTAGACAAAGATTTAAAGGGTACCTTTGGGAATAGTACACGCTAATTAAATAAAAAAATATTTAAGCTGGTGAAACTTACTCTTGGTTTAATTGTTGAATGGTGAGAATATTTTGATTGGTTGGATGAATATTACATCTATTCACTAGATCTATCATATCTACCATCTTCAGTTTAACTATCTTTACATCACTAAACATGAATATTTAGATTGGTTGGATGAATATTACATCTATTCACTAGGTCTATCATATCCATCATCTTCAGTTTAACTATCTTTACATCACTAAACATGAATATTTAGATTGGTTGGATGAATATTACATCTATTCACTAGATCTATTATATCTACCATATTTAGATGAACTATCACTAAACAAGGAAGAGACTTCAGAGACGGTTATACGGAATTTATACTGTCCGCTTCCTTATCTTCAAGATTCTTTGCAATTCTTAACTTTAGATCGTTTTTAAACAAATCCCAACCCTACTCTCTAGCACTAGAATTATATCATTTTCTTCTCAATATATTTTGTCAAAAACTTTGGCATCATCAGGAGTTCGTCATATAATGTAACAGATATAAGCAAAAAAATAAAAATAAATAATACAAAAAAGCAACTCAAATAAACAAAGGAGAGAACAAGAATAAAAAAAAATCTTTTTATGTAACCTTTACAATAAGGAATTTTTAAAAATGAAATTCTTAACTTGTTTATTTCTTTGTCAAATTATTAAATATGTCATCATTAGACTATATCTAAGACAGGAGACTTTACTACACTTTGGGATCGTCAAGATTTATTAGTTTAAGGCGGTCTTTACAGTCTCATCCTTTGTGGTAACCCTGTACTTTATTTCAATGATAATTTAGGAAACTTCTAAGATTCTAGTACTTCCGTGGTTTTTCCAAAACATGACATCAAAGATTTAAAGACGATTAAAATAATTAAATAAATGAAAATTGTGGTTTAAAAAGAAGTAAATAGTAAAGAATGTGTTTTGTGTATTTGTAATAAAAGTCCATAAAAGTCTTTCTGACCCGTATCAATCCAGGTATAACTCAATCAGGAACTCACGGTTCCACGAATACCGCTATCAATGTTAATCTGGACACGACTTAATCTGTAACAATACTTGTTCGCTCTAGTTATGGTTGACGAGGCAAAAGAGCTATTCAGTTCAGTAATATTTTACTACATAGATTCTTTCGATTTCTTTCTTTCAAGAGAGTGATTCAAGACGATTCTTGTTTGCTAACCAATAAGAATCACTCTCACACTGTAATTAAAGTGGTGTCTAATTCCAACTGACGTGTATTTAGATATCTATGTTGCAGGTTAAGTTAATTTACGTATTAACAAGATTTGCATAGATATATATAAGCGTAGTTAAGCTTATCACAATACAGGTTTGACGTAGTTATTCACAGATGCAGCTAGGCTAGGTTAATCGCATTTCAAGTTTTGCATGGTTGATTATAAGCTTATTTAGATTTACAGACAATGTACAATGTATAATTATGGGATTGGGTACGGTATTTATTACATATTTACATTTATAAACATTTCTTGTCTTATTTTGTCTAGCATGTAATGTACACGGTACAGGGTTGCCCAAAAAGGATGACATTTTGATGACAACATGAAACTAATGATCTGACATGTTAAATTTGGGTTTTCTGTTTTACATTCAAAATTTAGTTTTAATGAATGAACATAGAATGTCAAAAATAAATTTCGTACAGTCGTCTCTGAAGTCTTAATCTTTGCGAGTAACCCTGTTTATGGCAATATGTAAATAAATTATATTTTTTACCTTTCTAGACTTCGAAACATATTGTTTTTCTTAGTTATATCTTTAGCAGCTCGCAAACTATTACAAACACATTTGAATTTTATTTTAATGTATTTTGCAAATATCAAAAACTAGAATATACTGAAATTCAGGGAGCTTCTTTTATCAATTGTATGCTTACAAATATATCTTACAAAAATATATATACTTTGTAGGTAGATGAATTTTGTGTGGGACCTCACATGACCCCTGAGATGAGATTTTTAAAGCTGAAACCCTAGGAAAACCCGGTCTTTGCGTCTGCTTAGACCCAAATAAAGATCAAGTCAAGACCCGGTTTTTGGATGGCCTTGAGTTTAGAACCAACCATCTTGGGGTTTTCTCTCTTTAAGGTTTGAGTCTTCAGCAGCTGATGATCGTAAATTTCGTAAAATCTTTTATATTTTTTTTGAAATCTAGATATTTATTTACGTATCATTTATAGTTTACAGGATTGTTGAAAATATGAATTTATCACAAAAGTTTATTAACGAGTTATCATGTGCATACGAATATAGTTAAATAAATCAATAAAGTCGGAATAGATTTAAAAGATACATTTTTTACGTATTTTTTCCATTTCTGAATTATTTGTAAGTTTATATTCAAATATTTGTAATAAAGCAGTTCGTGAGGAAAAAACTAAATTACTTATTAGAAGATAGCATACTTATCAGGAGTATTACTGTAGATATTACAAACACGGTGCGTGTTATATCTTATTAAAAAAATGCTACATTTAAGAGTGTGCATGCTTAAAAATGAACATACACGGGATCGAGTTTCCCGTTTTATTTTAACATAATAAAAATAAGAGTAGCCATCGATAGTGCATCGGCGTAGGCCGATTCTAGGAATGGGAATATAGCTAGTATTTAATCATGTTGCGGCTTAATTAGCAAGATGATCAGACGTAACGATTAAGAAGTGCGAACATTTATTGTTCGTTTCTAATATCTTTTACGTCAAAGAATGGAGTGAAAATATAGATCTTCTTTACTCATATTGCGGCTTAATTAGCGAGATGGTCCGGCGTAACGACTAAGAATTGCGAACATTGATTGTTCGTTTCTCGTAGATTATACGCCGAAGAGCAATTTTAAGAGCTCTTTAGTATTGAGGCATGTAGGTAGTGCTTTGACGTCTTCGTTCATCCTCTGCTCTTTCCGGAGGTAGTTCCGATACAACTGAACATTTAAAAGGAACTATTAATTTAATTTAAAGCATTCATTTAGTGCTTGCATTCAACTCAAATAGTATCCGGATCTTAAAAGTCATTCTTTAATAGTGCAGAGTTTTGGAATAGTAATCTTTTATATTTGTACATTTAAAATCTCGGGAATTATGTGTGGTGTCAAATTTTATTAATCTATCTACATTAAGTTTGAATTTTCGAAATTTACATCTCCTTGTCACAGCTGATCTGACGGCATTCTGTCTGCTACAGAGAGAAAGCTTGCTAAACAGTCTCTCATTGGTCAAATCAGAACCAATCCTGACTTGGGTTCTATATAAAAGCCCGAGTTTGGGTTTTACTCACGTTTAAGGAAACCTCATCTCAGGGAAGGTTTATGGGTGATAAAAGTTTACAAAAATTAGCCTCCAACAAAATTTCATTTTATTAAATATTGAAAATCCACGTCTTTTTTTTACGAAATCCGAAAACTTTTTTGTTACAACTGAAATAGAAGATGTGTCTGTCGTTTGTCTATTTGTATCCAATAAACGTCATAACCGATCGGGCCTACATTTTGTGATGGACCTTGCATGATCCAAAGGAAGGGTTATCAATACTCAAAAAGAAAAATGTAAGTCCAGAAGCTTTTGATTTGAGAAATTTTAAAAATGCACAAAAAAAATATTTGAAAATCCGCGAACTTTTTTTGTATTGTTTTACACTGCCCAAAGAAAAGATGCTCACAGACAGAGCCACAATTAAAAGTAAAAAAAGAGGAAGTCTAGTATAGAAATGGACCTAATTAGAGAAAAATAGGTTACAGCCCAGTAAGTTACTTTCTTATAAACAATAAAAACTTTCTTGTAAAAGAAAAAAGAGGGCCAGGACCATGGAATTTATTTTTTACTAGTTCTATAAGTGTCCTGATATTTCAAATTTCAATGTGTGTAGAGTAAAATCTACCTCCATCGCCCTCTCTTTAGTTTTATACTAATATTCAGATCTAGTTACTTTAGCCTTCAGGGCACTTTGCATTCATCTTCTAGAAACAAATTTACCGTTTAAATGTTGCTCTTCAAATTGGAATACTACAGTTTTTAAATTTAAAAGTTTTAACAAAATTTCGACCAGCCGCCCATAACTCCTGCTTGGATCGTCAAGCAAGTTGCCACAACAAATGTTGGCCAGATCGGTTCAGCCGTTTGACGTGCATTGGATACAAACAAACAAATCAAATTTGGATGCTCCTTTCGGTAGCCCGGCCTATAGACATGCATGGTATCCCTCACAATAAAGCTTAGGTGGATACCTGCATCTCAAAATATCGTTCCGCTCATTTAAAACTACGTCAGCAATAGTTCTCCCAGAGTGAAATAAAAGTCGTCTTCCATCGCCAAAATAATTCTAAATAATTCAAGTTTAAGGAAAAAGATGCTCTATAAAACTTTATTATTGAGGAATATTAGGTATATTAAAAAAATAATAAATGCATAATTCAGGAATTTTAAATTGCTGAACAGGAAAACTATAACAGATAATTTTATAAAATAACACAATATTTTACAATCTAAGTTCATAGTAGCCAAAAAAAGTCTGGAAAAATCAAATAAAGGAAATCAAGATGTTTAGAAGTGTTTGATACGCACGTAAAAAGCACTTACAAGAGGGGGTTCATGTCTCATTGTCTCATCTCAATTACGGCCCTGTTCGGATCAATGTATCCAAATCTAGGGTCATTTCCAGGTAAACAGTTCTTTTATAGAATTGATACTTGATCTAAACTCATGTTTATATAACACAACACGGCCAAACTAAAATACAGGGTGTCCCAAAAAACATGGGAATTCAGTGACGAATTAGATATCGTCTTTGTTATGAATTAGCATTGTAATACCTAATTTCAAAAGCCATAATATTATTATGTCTGCTAGAGTTTATTTTATGAAAAGGGTAAAAGACTGTAAAGTTGTGTCCATAATGTCTCCGCAAGATGAACAGTGAAGACGGACAAGTTTACTCTCAGCTTTTTATCTTCCAGTAGCAATGAGCCACCCCCGTACGGTCTTCCATACCACAGCATTTGAGTCTTTCGGTAGTTATTACGTTTTTAAATAATACATTTAGTGCATTAAAATTATGATTTTTCAAAAATCTGCGAAAAATAATCAATAAATAACGCTTCTTTTGGCTATTTAGTACAGATTTCAGTTTTTTTTTTTTTTTATTAATTAAAACCTTCGAAAATAAAAAAAAGTAAATTTTTTTTTCACTACAGCCAAGCCCTGTCTATGAAACGGGTACGCTGCAAATTTCAGCTCAATAGCTTTAAAAATAAGGGCACAGTGTCCAAAAAACTGGGCATAAAAAGGCAGTGCTCTCATGGTCATTGGGTTTAAGTGTAAAATGACAACATGTGCGAGAGGGGGAGGCGACAAGGTTTTTAAGGCTGCGCCCTCATTTTACGACTGATCTGACTGACTGATCTCTTAGACTAGGCCTAGGTTGTATTAAAAATCTTAAAAAGATCGGAGCATTATTTTTTGGTCTGTCCCCCAGTCTGGCCACTGAAAACTTCAGGAAAATAGCGACTCATTGTTTGGAGAATGAGGGGAGGACACGTTGAACGTTCAATCTTTTGAAATAATCACCTACTTCTTTTTATAAACAAAACCTCCCAGAATGTGTTATAAATTAATGTAATCATGAGAATATATATTCTTTTCCCCTGTATTAGAGAAGAATCAAAATTGACAAGATAAAAAACACCCTGAGCTGAAAACCTTAGAATGAGATATCCTTAATCCCGATTACTTAATCTGAGTATCCAATGGAAAACTTTTGATTTTCTTCTCAAACCGTTCTTTCTTGGATATTGAAGAGAAAAATCAAAAACCGGTTTTTTAAATTAGAGAATTCCTCCCATTTCTGTATATAATCTAAATGGCACGCAAAATTTCAAATTTATCAACTACGTATACGCGACTTTGATTGGTTAAATTTTAAACACTTTTCAGGATACACGAACAAGATTAGATTAGTCTTGACATTAAGAAAAACAGAGGATCAAGCATTAATCTCGATATCCACCATTTAAAGTTTTCAGCTCTGTATATATAAAGAACTTTATACTTAAGTTTTAAATAGAAATAATGACGATTCCTTTTAAAATAAACTGCTTAATTTGTTTCCCTCAAAAATAAATTCAATCTTTCTTCTAAAATGGCTTATTCTTTAAACATTATAATCACTAAAACTGTTGCACCATAACATACTTTTAAAGTTGAAAGGGCACCCAAAACTGAAAATTTGCACTATTTGCACGGAAAATTGCAAAATAGAATGAAAGAAAATCTGTACCGCTCAGGTAATGGTATTGACAGCTAATTATGTGATTTTTCTCAGATTTTCTTATTCTTTAGACTACCCCAAATAAATTGCCTTGGTGCCCACAATTCGTAAAAGTATGTAAAATTTTCTTTGTATAATGTAAAGCAAAATAAACTGAGCACACAATTCATTGATCTTTAATAAACTTCTAAAATTTCTTAAAGGTATGATCTTTCGTATGATGTGGCAAGATTTTTAAAAATTGCAATTTATTATTTAAAAACGTCATAATTGACGGAAAGCTCAAATGCTGTGGCATAAAAGACCGTGCGGTTGTGGCTCATGGCTGTCAGAAAAAAGGGGAAAATGTTGTGGCGTATGGCCGCCTGCCTTCCCCCGCGAGCTTTTGAAGAAACCTACCGTATTCAGTTCCTTTTCCGATTTAACTCTATCAACAAGGTTCAGATTAAATATTAAGAAGATAATCGTCTCCGAGGCAAGCATCACGGATACACACGTTCACCTTCACACAATTAATAGAACTGTACTCGATTGTAAAGTCTACATTGTACACACTGCACTGTACATATTAAGGGAGTCTGAAATTTTAAACAGTACAAATGACCAAAATATTGGTACCGGGATCTATAGAGAGTTTTTTTCTAGGGTTCGTACATTTGCTTCGCTTTTGATGAAACATATTCATAAAAATTGAGAAAAATTATGAACATATTTTTTTGTTAAAAAGGCTATATAATTTTGAGATGTTGTACTGGTTTAAGTTTCAGTCTCCGACTTGTGTATTTATGAAAACAATAACAATAACAATAACTAAACACAACTACTGTCTTCAATTCCTGGGTTTTTAAAGCTTTTGATTTGGTTTACATGAGGAGAGTACATTTGTTTTTTGTTAATTGTTTACTTAAAAATAAGTTTAATATAAAAGAAGATATATCATTTATATATTTAATTAAGTCAACAGTATAAGCCAAATTTTCAAGCAAAGAATATAATTTGATTAAAGTTTACAATAATTACTAGTCGTTATTCCAGGAATTCCAGCTTAATTATAATTGACAACAATGTTCTGCAATTTCCTTGACTGTAGTCATGTTGTGTGTCTGTACCAAACGAGTGTGTGTAAGGTTTACCGAACTTGTCTTGAAAGCAGTGCAACTGGCTTTCTCATGCCAGACCAGCGCCATTTCCTTTCCCTTTATTCCTATTCCCTGGAATTTTTTCTTTGACCGGCCGATTCACTTTTAATCGATCCATTTATCACATTTTGGAATTTGCAACTGAACTATTCCAAAAATGTGTCCTAAACATTTACAGAGATAAATCAGTTGAAAAATGAAAAATACAAAATTCTTATGTAAGGGAATAAACAAATACGATTATCATTCAACAGTTTTCTACAGGTTCTCACTGTGTATCTCTAGGTGAGTAGAGAGGTTGTAGGACGGATAGAACCCTGGTCTAGGTCCTTTAGCTCTACGGGAAAACTTCAGGAGAAGATTTATGAGCTAAGAACTTACAATCTCATTCCTCAAAAGGTGTGTATTTATACTTAAAACAATTTCAAGAGCTACATTCAATACCAATTTTTACACGGATTGGGAAATTAATTAACATATTTTTAAACAGGTAAAATAAACCTTATTAAGTTTGCATTTTTAACAGAAAACCGCCTTTGATACATATTCATCACATATAAAAGAAATCTTGTCAAATTTCAGGTTTCAATATCTTTACTCATCTACAGGGTCGCCCAGAAAGAATGAGACTTCAGAGACGACTGTACGGAATTTAAACTGCTTGTTTCCTTATTCTTTAGATTCTCTGCAACTGTAAACTTGTTTCTTTCTTTGCTAAATTATTGAATATATTGAAGGCAAAGGATTTAAAGTAACCTTGAAATCATCATAATTTATGAGAAAAAGTCTGATCCTTTGTGGGTATCCCAGTTTGTATTTTTTATAACACAGGTCGGAGAGTTTCTTGCTCTGAGTAAGGATAAGTTCCACTTGAGAACTAGTCACTCTGTTCTCCTGGGATACTGGACTACAGAGCTAGGAGGGTTGAACCAAGTTGTTCATCTCTGGGAGTATGGTAGGTTATAGAGCTGGTAACTTTTGGATAGAATCAATGAGTTAAACCCATTCTATTATCCTGGGGAGATAATCCTTTCTTTTAGTTTATTCTATCTACAAAGAGATGATTAGTTTAACTCAGTTCATCTAGTCAATGGTTCTCTGCTTAGGATACAGAAAATTTAGAAATATAATAGAAATTTTTTCAACATGACTTCTCTTTTGTACATTTGAATTGATTTAATATATATATACTTTGCTGGTCTGGGTGTCCGTTTGTCTGTCTGTCCGTTTGTATCCAATAAACGTCAAAACGGCTAAACCGATCGGAAGAAAATTTGGAAGAAGAAGAAAAATCTAGAGTTGTAAGGAATCATGAATTTATGGAATCTATATATCTGTTTGTTTGTATCCAATAAACGTCAAAACGGCTAAACCGATCGGAAGAAAATTTGGAAGAAGAAGAAAAATCTAGAGTTGTAAGGAATCATGAATTTATGGAATCTATATATCTGTTTGTTTGTATCCAATAAACGTCAAAACGGCTGAACTGACCGGGCCCAAATTTTTTGTTGGACATCACGTGACCACAGGGAAGGTTTATGAATGATAAAAATTTAAAAAATGTGTTTTAAAGGTTTTTAATTTTGTAAAAAAAAAATTCTTGAAAATCCGCGAATTTTTTTTTTTAAATCGGCAAAATATTTTTCTTCTTTGTTTTAAAATGTAAACAAAAAGAACATGCTCACAATTTAAATAGGCTAAAAGCTAAAAGCCTAGAAAGAAGGTCGCGAAGCGCCTTGAATTTCTAGTGGTATAAATTTCCGATATATCTAAAGTTGTGAATCAGTTCTGATGTTGGGGAAAACCGTACATTTCTTGTCTTTGTTAATGTCTATCCTGTAGGTAGTTTGAATGAGAGAGCTGAGGTTCGAGCAAAGCTGGGACAAGATCAAGACTGGCAGAATCAATACTTTCAAAAGATTCTTCCTATGCTTCAAAACCAGGACAATGTTACTTTAAAAAGGTAAAAATAGAAAAGTTGTATTTTGACATGTTTTTGATTAGAGAAGAACCAAAATATTACTTAATTACGTTCAAATCATGCCTCCAGGTTTTTAAATAAAACTTTGAAATGAACAAAACTATCGTGCCTCTAGGATTTAAACATCAAAATGCATGACCAATAAAAGAGCTGAACTAAACCGACCCGATTAAGTTAGTTACTTCGTTTAAAGATTTGCCAGGTCTGATCATCCTTAANCATCGTGTTTTATGGTTTAGTTTGACTGAACCAGCAGCTCCGGGCCCTGATACAAGTGGAGTGTATGAACTCTGGAACCTGGAGATGAAAACCAATCCTGAAGATTGGATTAAGCTTCTCCGAGACTCATCACAAGAACTAGAGTCTGAATCCAGGTGTAAACAAACGATTTCAAAAAAATTTCTGGTTTTGTAGCAATTAATTTTTAAACCCCAGTTTTTGGAACAAAACAACATTTCGTGACAGACGACATTTTAGATATGTGTACACAATATTGGACTTGTAAATTAAATGATTAAATATTGAATAAATTAAATATTTAAATAGTTTAATCTATGGTTGGACTTGAAAGATCTTGATTGAAAAAGTTTTAAAAAATACCTCATAAAATATAAAGTTCAGGCACACAAAAAAAGTTGCGATTAGCGCCTGAATAAATAGCACGAAGCGTGGTAAACCTCTCTTATACTTAGATCCCTGCAGGGCGTATTCCAGAGTGTGGTTGGACCAATGAACTCTGGGATTGTAGTCTGGAGACATCAGAACCTAGATTCAGCTGCTCAACTCAAACATGATCTACTCAACTCCGTCCAGGGCAAGTTTTAGCAATATTTTTCATATACAGGGTGTCCCATATCATATTGGATCGTTTTATAGCTTTAAATTTCGATTTTCTGGACAAATAAAATTTTAAAAACAATGAGTCAATTAAAAAAAATTGTTTAAAGCTAATGTAAAAATTGGCATGAAGAAAATACTAGGCTTTTTGGGTATTCTGTGCGTATTTTGGCGTTAAGGAGAAAATCTAATTTGATATGGGACGCTCTATATATTTCTTTTTCTTGATGTTATATTTGCACCTTTAGTTGTCTACATACTTACTTTTCTCATTAAAGGGACATGTGTCGTAATTTCAAGTTTTCTCATTAAATGGACATGTGTCGTAATTTCAAGTTTTCTTATTAAAGGGACTGTTGTCTTAATTTCAAGTTTCTCATTAAAGGGACTGTTGGCTTAATTTCAAGTTTTCTCATTAGAGGGACAGTTGTCGTAATTTCAAGTTTTCTCATTAAAGGGACTGTTGTCTTAATTTCAAGTTTTCTCATTAGAGGGACAGTTGTTGTAATTTCAAGTGTTCTCATTAAAGCGACATGTGACGTAATTTCAAGTTTTCTCATTAAAGGGACATGTGTCGTAATTTCAAGTTTTCTCATTAAAGGGACTGTTGTCTTAATTTCAAGTTTTCTCATTAGAGGGACAGTTGTTGTAATTTCAAGTGTTCTCATTAAAGCGACATGTGACGTAATTTCAAGTTTTCTCATTAAAGGGACATGTGTCGTAATTTCAAGTTTTCTCATTAAAGGGACAGATGTCGTAATTTCAAGTTTTCTAAAGTTAAAGCCTGACATGTCTGATTAACAATGGTGCAGTGAGAACCAGAAAATTCTGGAATAGAAAGACCAACTTCGAACTAAAGTTATGTTTTTAAACAGTCCAATGAACATGAAATACAGCACTTGTGCAGTGTAAACAGACCCATTTAGCTGGATGGTGATTTTATAAGCTATTTACTTTGTAACACCATCCAATACTCTTAAGTATTATTACAATGTCGTCTTTATATTCCACAGTTTTCTGGTTTTCACTGTACCAGTAAGCTTTTATTCGGATTAGTAAGGAGAAAGTTATCTTCGGTTTTTCTGTTTTGACAAAAATATGAAAAATCGTATTTTAAAAATGTTCAATTTTTGAACAATTTTGATTCAAATACAAAACTAAAAGATTAACATTTCTGAATTTTCCGGTGTTTCTTGCTAAATACATAATAGGACACTACTATTAGCTTGTTGTGTTTAAAATATTTAATCTCAATATGTTAGGGAAAGAGTTGTGGAGTAGAGTTGTCAAGGGAGATTCTAAGATTTTAGCTCCAACACCATTCTCTCCCTGGAGATAAATAAGATACTGGATATTCAAACCTTCAAACCTTTTAGCTAAATAGTATTCATTTTTAAACCTTTCAGCTAAATAGTATTCATTTTTAAACCTTCCTGTAAAATAATATTTATTTTTAAACTTTCCAGCATAATAATATTCATTTTTAAACCATTCAGCAAAATGATATTCATTTTTAAACCTTTCAGCATAATAATATTCATTTTTAAACCATTCAGCAAAATAATATTCATTTTTAAACCTTCCAGCAAAATAATATTCATTTTAAAACCTTCCAGCATAATAATTTTCATTTTTAAATCTTTCAGCAAAATAATATTCATTTTTGAACCTTTCAGCAAAATAATATTCATTTTTAAACCTTTCGGCTAAAAAAAATTCATTTTTAAATCTTTCAGCTAAATAATATTCATTTTTTAACCTTTCAGCTAAATAATATTCATGTTAACTTAATTTTAGCAAAATAATATTCATTTTTAAGTCTTTCAGCAGAATAATTTACATTTTTAAACCTTTCATCAGAATAATATACATTTTTAAACCTTTCAGAAAAATAATATTCATTTTTAAACCTTCCACCAGAAAAAGAAATCTAATACTAAACCTTTGAGCAAATATAAATAACCTCCGGCAAATTAAGTTTAACTATAAAACAAAAATAATTTTTTTAAATCTTTTAATAAAGCTTAACAAATATTTATTTACATATTTGACTTGACACTAATCTATTTTAGAATTGTACATATTGTTCCTTAAATAATTACTAAATCACTAATCTAAGAGAGAGTATAAAAGGTTCTAAACAGAAAATATTTTCTGATTCTTCTACGAGAAGTGAATTTTGGCATTACAAGGTCTTTCTATTTAAATCCAGGGGACTTAAATCACTGATTAAGTGCAGTTTACTCACACTACAAATATCTTTTCTAGATAAATACTGAAAATAATTTCTTCTAAATGAAAGAATCTGGATAAATTCCGACCTTGGTTTGGAACCTAGGATCATTTTACGCTTGAACAAATGAGAACTTTCTGGTATGATCTGATCTGGTTTGCTGAAACATTTTCTGTTACAAGAACCAGAGTCTGGTGTTCTATTTAACATCTTGACATACACATGAGTCCAATCGTTACTTGATCCTAACCAGTAGGAGGATTTACAGGTCTATTGTAATCGTACTTCATAAACGTTTACTTGTACCAGCCCGCCTAGTGAACCCAATGTGTAGTAGACCCAGCGCATTTCATGCAAAAAATGTAGCCTGGTTGGACACATGTGCATAGTTTGGTTGTACACGATCCATTCTGGCCTGCTTCTACAAGATTTAATATTGTATCTGGTATAAGGTTATCTGGTGGAAGGTTGGATCTCTGGTAAAACCACGGGAATTATTTGATGTTTGTGTATATTGATCCGACCAGTACAGATTTCTGACATCTAATACTTGGCCTGGTTCACCAATCTTGCAGTAGGACAGATTTGTAGGACGGAGACGAAAGGTTCAGGGTGATATCTGTCCAAGAATCCAGTTTGCTGTTTTTCCAATCTAGGAAAATAATTGGGTTTAGAAACCAATGAATAAATTAATATTATATGGAATAATTAAGAACTAAAACGAAATAAATGGTTTAACTTAAGGAAGAACTAAAAGTAAGACCACATCATTTGGGAAAAAATAAGTAAGTAACTATGAAATTATTTATTTATGAAATATAACAAAAAAATACGAAACAGTGTTTGAGAAGGAAATATTTCCCGCTAATTCTAAAAAAAGAGGAAATGAAAAGGAAGGGAATAGGGAAATAATTTTTCCCAAAAAAAATATTTGGAGAAATGTTTGAAAAGTTTATATTTTTTTATTTCTTTTTATTTTTAAAATATCCGTTGTTAAGTTTGTAACTAGAGAAATATGAAAACTCTAACCTTGTGATATATCCCTGGTTGTTTATCCACTGCACACCCGAACCCTGCACTTGTAATCCCAATCAGGGTCCACCTATAACAATCATAATGGGGATTAGGAAACTTTGTGGCAAAGACTCAATTCTTTCGAGTTTTGATTTGCTCTTTATATATTTATATGGATAAATAGGGATTTCTTCGTGGTCGATGCACAGACCAAGATTTAAAGGGTAAAGTGGTGAATCGTACATGGCACAGCACAAATAAAAGGTCAATTGAAATTACGTTACAATCCCTGAAATAAACCCAAGAAACCAAGGTCTTCTATTGAAACCTAGAGTATCTAGAGTTCAAGATCAGAGAAAGATCAACCTCAGACTTAACCCTGATATATCTTAACTGTATTTCCGCGGAAGTCATATACCTGGTAAGTATTTCTGATTAAAAAAGGTAGTTTGGCTTACTAGTGAATGATTGCTCTCTATAGTTAGATGAACCCAAACATCCTTGTTATGTTTCTGTTCTGACGCATGTACACTGCTTAAAAATATTTATCATTCCGTTATAAGGAAGGACAAGTGTGTTTCTAAGGTAACAGGGTCGTTTTCAGACAACTTTCTAAGTAAGGAACTCTGGATGAAAACGACCCTGGTACCTTAGGAAGGTAAATTGAATAGAGAGGAATTGAGTTTTTTCTACAACCTCAATTATTTTTTATCCTGATATCTTTGCACCCCAATGTCATAGACCTTAGATATTTCAAACTTTGAAATCTGTCATATCAATTAATCTAAGGTTTGAACCATCCGGTTGCAGAGATATAGGCATCAGAAAATTTCAGTTTGTAGCAAAAACTCAGTTCCTTTGAGTTTGTGGCAAAGAATCAATTCCTTTGTCCTAACTATTCAAGTAATTATGTCAAAAATATACACGAGTAAGGTAAGCTGCCTTTTTAAATCAGAAATCCTTACGAGTCATTTGATTTTTGGAATGCGGAAATACAGCAGAAGATATGTTGTCTATAGACAAGGTTTACCTTCCGTTGTAATGTATGATGAGTGGTCCCCCGGAGTCCCCTAGACACGCATCCATCTTCCCTTTCTTGTGTCCAGCACAGAACATCTCAGAGTGCAACTAGAGTACGCACATTTATATATTGAGGACACAGGTTTACATATTGAGTACATAGATTTATATATTCAGTTATACACAGATTTATATTTTGAGTACAAAGATTTTTATATTAAGTACACAGATTTATATATTGAGTACACAGATTTTTATATTGAGAACACATATTTCTATATTGAATTCACAGTTTTATATATTGAGTACACACATTTATATATTGAGAAAATATATTCATTCATTGTTTACACAGATTTTTATATTGAGTACACAGACTTATATATTGAGAACACAGATTTATAAATTGAGAACATATATTTCTATTTTAGGTACACAGGTTAATGTATTCCTCACACAGATTTATTTATAAAGGACACAGATTTATATATATAGAACACAGGTTTATATATTTAGTACACAGATGTATATATTGAGGACACAGATATATATATCGAGTTGATAGGTTTCAGGGCTAGCCACTAAGGATGAGTTTAAATGACATGAAAATCTGACGATAGGCATTAATCTTTGTCTTAAATATTGTCTTTTAAATGTGTCCAAAATATTTTGGCACTGTAAGAACCAATTTTACTTTCGTTGAGAGAAAAAATATTGAAAATCGTCTCTGAAGTCTCATCCTTTGTGGATAACCCTGTTTCTTAAGTACACACTACACACTACACAGTTCCAGATTACTGAATACAGTATACTTATGTAAGGCCGATTTCTTATGGTAGAACGTCTAAGAAATTGCCCAGCAGTATAGGATGGTGATATAATAAATATCAATAGATACAGGGCATCCCACGATACATGGCAAAAGTCGTCTTTGATCTTTGGTTTTATTTGAGACATTCAGTCATTAACCTTGTTTCACATGTATGATTCTTAAAATAATAACCACAAAATGCTAGTCCTAAGATTTTTATCATCCTTTTTTGTGCTTTAAATATTACAGGAGATATTGAGAATTTTGTTAAGATTTCAATTTATTAAATAAAACAAAATACTGTCGAAGGATGATAAAAATTAATCAAAAATCACTAATAAATGCTGCATATCATTTCAAATATCAAGGACGACATTCAAGTTATCTTGCTACTGTCATGTTTCGTGGAACACCCTGAATATTGATTTCATGATATATCTGATGACCAAGGATTATTGTATCTTCTGAACCTTGAACTTGAACCAATCATTAAATAAATCCTTTAATCCTCGAATCTACAAATTAATTAGAAAAATTGCGGAGAAACCTTCCAAACCGTTCTAGCTTCAAGAGTTTAATGAAAAGTTCATCCTGGATCATAAATAATTAGAAGTCAGAGGATAAAATCATTAAACTTTCCAGGGAAACAAAGAATGATTAAAAAGAATGTGTATGCGCCTTACGCTCCTGTTTAAGACATGAGAAAAGAGTTAACTGTTGTTGATTACATTCGGATTGTTTTGTACAGAGCGTTCCATATGATATTGGATTATCTCCCAGCTTTAACGCTAAACTACGCACATGATACAACCCTGGTGTTTTTTGCGTTCAAATTTTTATTTTATGCTTATAAAATTTTTTAAATGATTCTTTCTTTTTCATTTTCTGATTAGTCCAGAAAATCGGACTTTAAAGCCTTGAGCGATCCGATATGATGTGGGACACCCTGTGCAATAACCTTAACGACTGCAATTCCTGGGGGGGGGGGGTCAGAGTACTCACGACTGTAATGAGCGCAGTGAAGGTTATCATCTACATAAAGCAAGAATCAAACGTGTTTATTTAACGTGTCTGTTTCTCTTAAATCTGGAATTTTATTAAACGATGATTATGAGAAAAAAGGTTTTGTCAACCTAAATCACGTCATTCCACAGAACTCAATAGAACTTTTATTACATGGGTTTATAGTAGAAAGTATGAAGAAACGCACATACTAAACATCTTTTAATTTTGTCCTAAAACTTAACCTTTCCGTCCTGGTTTCCGATTTATCCGTCCTGCTTCCTTAATTTTTATCTTTTTGTCCTTATCCTACAAAGATTTTCAAAATAATTCAATCGTAGTCTCGTAGAATTGATTGAAAGGCGTAAGAAGTAAAACTCCCGGGAAGGCCAAGGTTACAAAGATATGTATTAACGTAAAATTATGGATTAGATGCACAACTCTAGTCCTTGACAAGATAAGAGTATTGGTTGTAAGAGAGCTAATGAGAAAAGGCCTGAAATCAGTTGGATTTAAGTTTAAATATTTGATTGAGGATAGATGGGTAGAAAGATTGAAGGATTAAGATGCAGGATTGAAGATCTAGTTTTAGAAAGATAACAGTATCTAGGTATATTCAGAGCAGGGTGGAAGTATTTAGGTCTGGAAGGATAGCAGGATCTAGATATTTGAAGAGTAGGGGGAAGGATCTAGGTCTAGAAGGATAGCAGGATCTAGGTATAACTGAGTAGGGGGAAGGATCTTGGTCTAGAAGGATAGCAGGAGCTAGGTATAACAGAGAAGGGAGAAGGAAATACGTCTAAAAGGATAGCAGGAACTAGATATTAGAAGAGTAGGAGTAGGGGTGGGGTATGGAGCAAGGTTGAAATATATTGTATGCATACAAAAGGTCGAAAGGTGTGGAATGAATTATTAAAGGCTGGCTCCGGGTTGAGAGGAACCGTCCTTGAGAAAGAAGTCAAGATCAAGTAAGGGTGCAAGTATAGGTTCAGTTTTCGCTCAGGGACGATGTAGAACTTTCTTAATTCCAAGTAATCAATGTAGACTGCAGAATCTATCTATTAAGACTATTCTTCTCTTAGCTCGACCGACTGCCATCTGTTTAAGAATTATGGGTCTTTCCCCTCATACATTCGTACTTTTTCTGGTCTCTTTTAACATATGTTATTTTTAAGTGGATGAAGAATATTTTTAGGACATTAGACATTTAAAAAATAAACACAATTTTTAAATATTTCAAACATACTAATCATATATTGCATATATTCTATAAAAAAACATTTTTGCGCTTTTAAAAAGATAGATTACTATATTTAGGGGAATACTTGTTTACCAACCATATGATATAACTAGTATTTAAAATAAAATATAAATCAAACTCTATGAACTAAACAGATGATTGAAAATTGTCAATAATATTTTACATTAAACTAATTATCAGAATTCTACGAAAATCAACAATCATGATGCAGCAAATAGAAACATTTTATAGTTTCCCAAAATAAATTACAGATATCATGAAATATCAAGGTTTTACTATACTATGATATGTACAATTCTTAATGGCGGATTTTTTGGAGAACAATTGCTGTGGAAGTTGAGTTAGGTTAAATAGTTTAGGAAATTTTAGGATAGAACAGGATATGGTTATGGATATGGTAACATTTAGTTAGGAAATTTTAGGATAGAACAGGATATGGTTATGGATATGGTAACAGTTAGTTAGGAAATTTTAGGATAGAACAGGATTTGAATATGGATATGGTAACATTTAGTTAGGAAACTCTAGAACAGGATTGGTTGACCGGATAGGGGCACAAGCAAGCTTTCAAGCAAAAATCTATAGAAAATGTTTTCCAAATACTTTCTGAAAACTAAAGCTAGTAAAATGTGCTTTAAAGTTCTAAAATATGCAAATAAAGGCCTACACAATAAAGTATCAGTGAGTTATTGAGCAAAAATAGAAGTCAAGCCGTAGAGACACTTTAACATCGACTAAGCCTCCAAAATTGATGCAAATAATTATAAAAGGTTTAATGCTTAACAATTTTTTAGGAAGTTCATTTCAGCAAAATTCTTTGAGAAATTATGTTTGGTAAAGTGCCCCTTAGGGCTCTTACTATAACACTGTTCACAAACAATGTGTCCTACGAAACATGACATTTTAGAGATGCCAAAGAATGAAATTGAAAATGCATTCCTAGTTTTAAAAAACTGCTGAAATACATTTCATGACAGTAAACAATAAACAGACAATTATATTTTTTCTTTTTCTTTTTGCAACCGGTTTTAATTACGTTGTGTTAAACTAAAGCACATCATACATTTATATCTAAAGTAGGAATATCTGTTTGTCTGTCTAATTTTGTCTGCTTGTATGTCGTATCATAACCCCAGAGCCCAAAACTTAAGACAGGGTATCGTTATGGAACCCGGGATTTACGAAGGGGTTAGGTAGTTTTGTTGAAATCCACATTTTGTTATAAAATATAATTTTTTTAGTTTCTTTATATTCTCCATTTTTTCGAATCTCTTAAATCAAAATCTACACAAATGTTAAGACCCCAATAAGGAAACTTGGGAGTTTCGTTCTACGATACTTTTTTTAACTTCGGGCTCAGGATCCCCTGGGCCAATTTTTCTTAAATTTAGATTGTGGAACTCAAGAGAACCGTGAGTAGGTTTTTAGCTTGGTTTAAAAGTTCTAAATTAAGTTTGTTGACTATTATAAAGAATGTTTAGTTTCCAGACAAGGCTGGGTTTCCAAGCTTGGTCGTCTTTTCTTAGTCATGTTTAGAAGGTCAACATTGTGTGTATACTATATTTGTAATTACATAAACATAAACATAAGTTTGTACACTGTAACTACACCGTGAAGTGTAGAATCAGGGAGCAGAAATTAAACGATTAAAATAAACACAAACATAAATATCACGAAATTTTGAACCAAGGTCAATTTCTAGCAATATGAATATCAGAAATAAAAATTGCAGCATTTTTGCATTAATATGCACCGTGCCAACTACAGACCGTCAACACGGAAGGTGTTTACTTAATTGAAAAATTAGAAAAAATAAATCGTTCTTTTCAACTCTTCCATCATTTCCGTTCCAACATTTCTGTTCCTCTTTCCTCACATCCTTTCCAACACTCTTTCCTCACATCCTTTCCAACACTCTTTCCTCACATCCTTTCCAACACTCTTTCCTCAATTTCTTTCCCACACTTTCTTCACATCCTTTCCCATACTTTACTCTTTCCTCACTTCCTTTCCCACACTTTCCTCTTTCCTTACTTCCTTTTCCACAATTTCCTCTTTCCTCACTTCCTTTCCCACATTTTCCTCTTTCCTCAATTCCTTTCCCACACTTTACTCTTTCCTCTCTTCCTTTCCCTCATTTTCCTCTTTCCTCACTTTCTTTCCGGCATCTTTACTCTTTCCTCACTTCCTTTTCCACATTTTCCTCTTTCCTCACTTTCTTTCCCGCATTTTACTCTTTCTATACTTCCTTTCCCATACTTTACTCTTTCCTCTCTTCCTTTCCCGCACTTTACTCTTTCCTCACTTCCTTTCCCACATTTTCCTCTTTTCTCACTTCCTTTCCCACACTTTACTCTTTCCTCTCTTCCTTTCCCGCACTTTACTCTTTCCTCACTTCCTTCCCCACATTTTCCTCTTTTCTCACTTCCTTTCCCACACTTTACTCTTTCCTCATGCCCTTTACCGCACTTTCTGCTTTCCTCTTTTGTCAACCCATGAATATATCTTGCTTATTATTCCTTCTCTTCTACTTTATTACTTTTCTTTTTATTCAATATTTACTTATCTACGTTGCTAGTTCCCTATTTTCTTTCTTTCCTTTCTTCCTTTAGTTTCTAATAATTTTTTAAATTACTTTCCTACTCTACTTTCCTCATGTTCTTTCTTCTTACTTTCTTAGTTCTCTACTTTTCTAATTTCATTTAAGGCATTTATAATTTCCTACCTTACATTCTTACTTTCTACCTTTTCTACTTTTTAATTGTCTACTTTTTTCTTTTTTGACTTCCTATTTTCTACTTTTTATGTCCTTACTTTTTATTTCCCTCCCTGTCTGGTTTTCTATGTTCTGCTCCTGCTCAATCATCACACTAACGAAAGATTTATTAAAATGTCCTCCATGGTAATTTAATCAAAAATAGTGTTAAAGTAGGTGAAGCGAACCAATACCCTACCCCCTCTCACCTCAAAGATTTCCTTGTTTTCTATCCTATTGTAATGTTGTGATGAAAATAAAGATAGATCGGGAAAACTGGAAAGATTTATTTTCAGATAAGAACTTAAAATAAATCTTGTCATTTACGTTTCTACTTTTGGAAAATATACTTTCACTTCCAGGTTTAGGTTTTTTTATATTATTGTATTCTGTTATCTTGAGCCAAACTGAATATTAATTTATTTGAATTTTTTGTTAAATAACTTAATTGATATGTCTTTAATACGATACACATAAGGAATTTTATAAAAACTGGCCAATGTCCAATTTATATAAAATAATTGCTTTTGAAGATATTTTATTTCTTCGTTATACAATTGAAGTCTGGAAATTTTTTCATAGATATTCCAGGCCCTAGATTCGTGAATAGATGTGTAATATTCTGTATATTTTTTCTAGTTTCCTGGATATTTTTCAAGTTTCTAGTATATTTTTTCTAGTTTCCTTGATATTTTTCTAGTATCCTTGATATTTTTCTAGTTTCCTTGATATTTTTCTAGTTTCCTTGATATTTTTCTAGTTTCCTTGATATTTTTCTACTAGTTTCCTAATTTTTTTCTAGTTTCCTGATATTTTTCTAGTTTCCTTGATTTTTTTTTCTAATTTCCTTGATATTTTTTCTAGTTTCCTGATTTTTTTCTAGTTTCCTTGATATTTTTTCTGGTTTCCTGATTTTTTTCCAGTTTCCTGATTTATTTCTAGTTTCCTGATTTTTTTTTAGTTTCCTTGATATTTTTCTAGTTTCCTTGATATTTTTTCTATAGTTTCCTGATTTTTTTTCTAGTTTCCTGATTTATTTCTAGTTTCCTGATTTTTTTCTAGTTTCCTTGATATTTTTCTAGTTTCCTGGATATTTTTCTAATTTCCTTGATATTTTTTCTAATTTCCTGATTTTTTTTTCTAATTTCCTTGATATTTTTTCTAGTTTCCTGATTTTTTTCTAGTTTCCTTGATATTTTTTCTGGTTTCCTGATTTTTTTCTAGTTTCCTGATTTATTTCTAGTTTCCTTGATATTTTTCTAGTTTCCTTGATATTTTTCTAGTTTCCGTGATATTTTTTAGTTTCCTGGATATTTTTCTATAGTTTTCATTTTCATCTTTTAGTTACTTGATATTTTTCCAGAATTCTTGAAAATTTTCTGGTTCCCCTGATATATTTCTTTTAGATATTTTTCGAAAAATTTAGATGTTTTTCCAGAAATCAGGATATTTTTCTAGTTTTCTTGATAGTTTCCTAACTTAGGATAATAGTTTAGTATTTCAATGCAATTTCAAGAATAAGTTATACATAGTTTGGGATGGATTTCTCCGTAAAAATTTTGAACTGAGAACCAGAATTAGAAATTAAAATCCTTATCCGAAAATAATTGATCTCTGCCGGAAACTGAGCAACCTAAGTCATGACCTTATTCCAGGCATTTACTCCTCTATATCCTGTGTTAGTGCATTTATTAGATATTTGCTTAATATTCACAAGCATATAGAGATATATTGTTATTTCTACCTAACCTCAAATGGAAACTTTTGAATAAGAAAAAAGTTAATCTAGGTTTTGGGGTTTAACTACAACTTATAAAAGGACGTCAAGAAAGTTGGTCGAGGCTAATCTTTTATTTAATATGACCTCCTCTTAGTAGATTTCAACAACTACGACGTCACTTTTGAAACTAATCCAATTAAAATTAAAACACATCCATTAGTTTTAAACTTAATCTAAAGAAGCTTAAAAGTATTATGAATATTAAATTTTAGTTTCGAATACAAACAAATCAAAACACAAACAAAAATATTATGATAAAAATAATAATGATAATAATAAGAAACAGTGCTGTAAGTCGTCTTTACCTTATCTTCTATATAATAAAGCTCTTTGGTCATGTATATATAAATTTATATGTTAGCTATAGCTGACCAAACGGCTGGACCAAATTGGCTGACATTTTTTAACCCTATCCCCGCTGGGGTACTTGAAAACCAGGATACGCTGGGGGGGGGTCAATTTGACCCCCCCTCTAAATCCCATGTTTTATGTCCAAATATGACAAATGATACATCATTAGAAAGCTCTTGTGCTCTACTTTTAGAATCTGCAAAAAAAACTGATATAAGTATATATATATATAGATATGTTAGAATTTTTTTACAAATATACTTTAAAAAAACAAGAAAATTTTAAGAATACTAAATTTCAAATCAATTAGCTATCCAAGAAAAGTCAGTATTTGTAAAATTTGAATATAAATATTTATATTTCCGGATCTAATAAATATTTCACAATTTTTTTACATACTGTTTTACGTTAATATAATTTTTATATAAATTACATTTTAAATTGTACTAAGATAGTAAAACATTTGTGCTTACGGATCGATTTAATTTGTTTTTGATAATACATTATTTTTCCTGGAGTATAAAATTTTGTGTTTCATAGTTTTGTGTTTCAGGGGTTTGTGTTTTAGGGTTTTGTGTGTTTCAGGGTTTTGTATTTCAGGGTGTTGTGTGTTTCAGTGTTTTGTGTTTCAGAATTCAAAAAAGAGGAGTAGTATTTAACCTGATGCTATGTAAAATTGATAACAGGTGAGTTCATGAATTTTTGGTCGAAAACACTGTATACATCAACACTGTATACATCAACATGTCAATTTATGACTTTTATGATCTCATATTTCTTCTTGACCGGACGTGAAATATATCAGGGCTTCACAATAAAGGAGCAAAGATAATATAAATATTACATATATTATCTTCATATTCGCAATATAGGAGCAAAGATAATATAAATATTACATATATTATCTTTATATTCGCAATATATAGGAGCAAAGAAAATATAAATATTACATATATTATCTTTATATTCCCAATATATTGGAGCAAAGATAATATAATTATTACATATATTATCTTCATATTCGCAATATAGGAGCAAAGATAATATAAATATTACATATATTATCTTTATACTCGCAATAAAGGAGCAAAGATAATATAAATATTACATATATTATCTTTATATTCCCAATATGTAGGAGCAAAGATAATATACATATCACATATATTATCTTTATATTCCCAATATATAAGAGCAAAGATAATATAAATATTACATATATTATCTTTATATTCCCAATATATAGGAGCAAAGATAATATACATATCACATATATTATCTTTATATTCCCAATATATAAGAGCAAAGATAATATAAATATTACATATATTATCTTTATATTCCCAATATATAGGAGCAAAGAAAATATAAATATTACATATATTATCTTTATATTACATACTAGCTGAAATTCCCGGTTTTACCCGTGGAATAAGAAAAATTTAATTCCGAATTATTATAGATATTACATACATTATCTATACATGATTTTTATTTGGATCCAAAGTATTAAGCAAAAAGTAGGATCCCTATTTTGAAAAGGGTGAACTAACCTGAACAATAATATTCTTGTCTTCATGCCACTTGATGCATTCCTCGTTCTTTACTATAGGAACTAGAACCTTGTGCAGGATATTAGTTCCGGTCTTACCGAAGGAGTTATCCGTCTTACCCCACCCCGCCACTAGTCCGACCTTACCCTGAACATAGGAGTTGATCACAACAATTTTAGTTTTTGAACCATTATCAATTTTTATACAGCGGAGGATATGATGTGAATAGATAGATAGAAAGGTTGATAAATAAAGTAATAGTTATGCATAAAACTCTGGAACAAGAAAGGAATTTTTATACTCAAGTCATGACTTTAAATAGTCAAATGAACATAAAACACAGGAATTGTGCAGTGTTAATAGACAAACTTATTAACAAGTGAATTATTAAGTTACTAGTAAAACTATTTGCTTTGTAACAACATCAAATTCACTTTATTATTGCTTTAAAGGGAGTGTTCGCAAAAAATAAAAGGGGGATAGGCTTAATGAGATAAAAAAGCGCTTTTGATCACTACTAATCTTACTTCTATCTGTTGCGTCTATAAGGAGAAACTTGTTAAAGACGTCTCATATTTTATTTTTTTAGAGAACGTTTTAACTGATTTCGAAAAATGTGAGTGGTCCGCGGCATTCTTAGATAGTTGCGCAAGCCGCAAGAGAAATAATCAAATTCAAAACAAATTAATTAAAAATATTATAAAATTTAAACTATATACAAATGTGGCGAAAGATAATCGATGACTATAGGTTGTAATGTCTGAATGATTTGTTTGAAATTAATTTGATTTTTTTACGGTCTAAGTCGTATGTTGCTATTTTCTCAATTTGTATGGACGCTAAGTTATTCGGTATGAGACGTTTTTAACAATTTTCTCCTTATAGACGCAACAGATAGAAGTAAGATTAGTAGCGATCAAAGGCGCTTTTTTTATCGCATTAAGCCTATACCCCCTTTCATTTTTCGCGAACACTCCCTTTAATGTCGCCTCTTATTTAACAGTTTTCTGGTTCTCACTGTTGAGAAATAGATATATGGGTGGATAGATAGATAGATTTATAGATAAAAAGATAGATACATAGATACATACAAATTGGATTGGCTCTATCGGAGGATAGTAAATATACTATTTCAAATGAAATATTTATTACTTTATTGTAAAATTTGATTGTTTACCTTTATTTTTCTCTAGCAGAATATCTAACGGTAGGATAGATAGATTACCTTTAGCAAAATATAGCGTAGAATTTATATAGATTAACTCTTGCGGAACGTCCAGCGGAATATCTAGCGTAAGATGGACATATTACCTTTAGCGGAATATCTAGCGTAAGATGGACACATTACCTTTAGCGGAATATCTAGCATAGGATGGATATATTACCTCTAGCGGAATATCTAGCGGAAGATGGATATATTACCTTTAGCGGAATATCTAGCAGTAGATGGATATATTACCTTTAGCGAAATATCTAGCGGAAGATGGATTTATTACCTTTAGCGGAATATATAGCGGAAGATGGATATATTACCTCTAGCGGAATATCTAGCAGAGGATGGATACATTACCTGTAGCAGAATATCTAGCGGAAGATGGATAGATTACTTTTTGCGGATTACCTAGCAGAAGATGTATATATTACCTCTAGTGGAATATCTAGCGGAAGATTGTTATATTACCTCTAGCGGAATATCCAGCGGAGGTAGACAGATTGGAATAATATTCTCCTGGTAGAAGACAGGTCTCTCTAGGTGTAGGAGAGCTACATCATACCGGTCAGGCTGGGTCAGCATGTATCTAAACATAATAACGGTCAGGCTGTGTGAGCATGTATCTAAACAGCATAAACAAATCAGCACCTGGGGTATATATAACATGCTATGGAGCAAATGAGGATTGAGTAACACAATATTTGTAAAGTAAGCTTCATAAAAATATGTTCGAATTAATCTGGCCTGTGTAGCCAAGCAAATGCAATTTAAAACAGTAGAAGGTATCGATTGACTCCAAATTTTGTCCACAGGTTAGAATATTCTTCCTTTTTGGTCCTGTGTTAGAAATCCTAGCTACGGGCTAGATAAAATCTGGTCCACATGCTAAGTTCTTCTGAGTCGTGATAACAACTAAAAGATATCTCCTGGTGGGTGATAATACTGGAGACAGTAGGATGTCAGAATACAAGGAAAAATTAATACTGTGTCATCAAATAAACCAAGCGTCCAAGAATTGAATAAATAAATAATTGAATTTACGAAAAGTTTATGACGGCAGATTCCTGTATGTTTACAATATTACACAATACACTATCAACTAGACAGAAGGAGAACGTAAATTTTATGCGACATTGAGTTAATTTATCTAGTTCAAAACATGTTATTCTTCTCAATAACTCTTTAATAAGAAGAGCCTTAATTGAAAACATGTAAGATTTCAATCGTACTTGCAATTTACTTTAATTTGACGTAAATATCTGTATAATAAAACAAGACATATATATATATATACATCGTATATATATATATATATATATATATATATATATATATATATATATATATATATGTTGCGTATAGCCGGCCAAACGGCTGGACCGAATGGGCTGACATTTTTTGTGTTATAGGCTAAAAAAAATCGAAAAAAAATTTCTATAACATTTTTTTTAAATATTTTTTTTTCAATTTTTTTCCACGGGCAACGCCGGGCCCTTCAGCCCTTGTATATTAAAACAGTTATGTATTATAAATTTAAAATATTAACTATTCAACCAACTGCAATATATTATTACTTTCATCCATTATTTAAACAGAGATATTTCAATCAGATTTTCAGAGTTGTAGAATTATTGCCGAAAATATGCTTATTCCATGTTTATTCTTTTTAGAATATCTATCTATCATGAACCGCATATTTCAAGATTCAGCTTCCTTCAGTGTAAAGAATATCCATCTATCATGAACCATATATTTCAAGATTCAGCTTCCTTCAGTGTAAAGAATATCTATCTATCATGAACCATATATTTCAGTGCATATTTTGTAGCAGACATATGAATGCAGAACGCGTTTGTCTAGTCTTTTTATGTCTTTGGCCAGAAGTCTGGAATGTGTCCAGTGTCAGGGATACAGTGGATAAACATTAAACAATCTTGCAATATGGTTTAAACAATAGCGAGTGATCAGAGAATTTACGATAAAGATAAATGGATTATTTACTAAGGAATTGAGTCTTTGCCACAAACTCAAATTTTCTAATTCCTATATCTTTTACACCTGATAATGTAAACTGTTTATATTTCGAACTTAGATTGTTTAATCTAACAGAATTCTTAGCTTGAAATATCTTGGATTGCAAAGATATAGGGATTAGAAAATCAGAGTTTGTGACAAAGACTTAATTCTTTTAGAAGAAACACTTATGGTGCACTATTTTTAAAGACTGGAATGGATTTTTTATCAGAAAGTAGATACTTGCAATTTTTTCAGATGGTTCATTACTAAAATTATCATCATCATGCATAAAAAATCAGCTTTGAGTTTTGTGACAGTCTATTAAACCAACTAGATCCAGACTTAAACCAGATATTAGACATTATTTAGACTTCTTGTACTTTACATTATCCATCTATCACAATCTTTAGTCTCTAAAAAAAGAATAGATATTAAACAGTGGTAGGTGGTTATATCAATAGATTGAAGACGACTTTCTATTTCATTTTTGATTTATATCAAGCTGTTAAACAACATGGATACACTTAATCATAGAAGTCAAGAAATGCTGTCAATCAATAAAGCTTCTATTTGATTACTTTTAACTTGTAATTCGAAAAAAAGCTTGTTAACAATCAGAACTTGAACAAAAATTCGTCTTCATTATATTGATATAATCGCCTACCACTGTATTTAATCTATTGACATCTGGATGTAGTCTACCTAAAAACCTGAGACTGTGAGAACTAAATTTAAAAGTGCATATCGTACCTCCTGAAAGATAAAGGGTACCAAAGTAAAAAAAGTTACTAAAGCGAAAAAAGAACTAAGCGATATTACATCTTCGCCACCCTGTAAATAGATTTTCCNCAGCCATTGACCTTACCTTTCTTGCATTAATATATGGATTAACAGTTGGTTTCTGCAGCATATGTTAAATTATTTAAAACAAATTTCTTGTCAAATTGCATAATTCAGATTATATAGAAATACTACAATACGGCCTAATCATGTTCAATGTTAAACTCCGATATTGCACCAAAGGTTGGAACTTTTGAATTGGTAATCCATTGAGAAAGAAACGGATTAAGCTGATTACTTTTGAATAACTCTGAAGATGCTGGAAACATCGACCAATGAAAAGCCGTACAAATCTGATTTCAGGCATTTAAAAATGCGAAATATAAGAGGTGGCTTTTTTACTGATTAAGTAAGCTAATGAATTATGAACCATACCCCAGCATGTTTTTTAATTTTTTGTTTATTTTGTATTTTTATCAATATGTTTTTTCTAGTTTCATATGATTCCCGCGATAAAATGTTCCAATGCAAATTGATTTAACAACATTTTGACCGGACACAACAGGTTTTTAATACATTTCGTGGATTTTTACAAATCATTTCCTTGAAAAATTTCAAATTAAATAGAATATTTTATATTTTTGAAATAGTAAATGTAGATTTAAAAACAAAAGTGTTATCCTAGAATCTCAAAAGTTAAACAATGTTATGGTGTTTTGTGTTTATTATATTGTTATCCTAAGTTCCGTGTGATAACACAAACCTCACGTGTATAAATATGTTTTAATGAGACAAAAACAAAAAAAAACATTCATAATTGTTGCAGGTTTTCGTTAACAACAAAACAACACCCTCTTGTTTAAATCTTAATTAAGAAATAATTAATTCATTGAAATCAATTCAATTAACTTTATTGAGTTCCTTTAATTCAGGAAGGAAGCTTAGATCTACCAGGTGATATTTCAACTGATTGAAAGATTGTATTTAATTAAATTTGTCCCAATTCAATCCAATAGAATCAACTTCCCTGTGTCCCTTTCGTACCTTTACTCCTTGGATTTGTGTCCCTCTGTCCTTGTATAACTGTGTTATTCATGTGTCCCTGTCTCACTGCACCCATGGTTCCCTGTGTCCCTGTCTACTGCACCCATGGTTCCCTGTGTCCCTATATCTTTGTGTCCCTTTATCCTTGTGTTTCTGTGTCCCTGAATCCTTGTGTAAATGTGACCATGTGTCCCTGAATCTATTTGTCCCTGTATCAATGCGACCCTTTATCTATGTGTTCCTGTTTCTATGTGTTCCTGTATCTATGAGTTCCTAGCCTGTATCCCTGTGTCCCTGTATCCATGTGTCCCTGTATCCATGTGGTCCTGATCCATGTGTCCCTGTATCTATGTGTCCCTGTATCTCTGTGTTCCTGTATCCCTGTGTCCCTGTATCCATGTGTCCCTGTATCCATGTGTCTCTGTATCCATGTGGTCCTGATCCATGTGTCCATGTATTTATGTGTCCCTGTATCTCTGTGAGGGGTGTCCCTGTATCGATGTGGTCCTGTATCCATGTGTCCCTGTATGCATGTGTCACTGTATCCTTGTGTCACTGTATCCCTCTATCCCTGTATCCCTGTATCCCTGTATATCTGCGTCCCTGTATCCTTGTGTCCCAGTATCCATGTGTCACTGTATCCATGGGTCCCTGTATCTATGAGTCCCTGTATCTATGAATCCCTGTATCCATGTGTCCCTGAATCCCTGTGTCCCTGTATCCAAGCGTCCCTGTATCCCTGTTGAAGCGTGGACTAGTTACAGTTGGTTACTCCGGCTCAGGGTTTAAACCATTCAATCTTAACACTACTAGACTTAAAGTTAAAGATAAAGTAATCTTTAGCCGAATCATTCAATTACTTAAAATTCGTAAAATCAACTCATAAAAGATGTAAGTATTAAATACAGTGAGAAATAGATGAATACTAACCTAAAATCTGGATGAATAGTAATATGATCAACATTGTATGTTTCTGAGTCTAGAGGTTCAGTTTCTCCATCCTTGGTATCATATTCTCCCAAGTGTACTGTTATCTTATTCAACTTTGCTCTAAACATATTCAAGTAGAGAACCGTGTATTATTATTTTATGTATTTTATGTACATTATACATATACACATCTAATGCATTATGTGGATCCGAATAAAACACAAAAAAATCATTTATCCGAAATAAAAAAATCTCCCTCAACTTGATGTGGTTATTTTTTTAAACTCACGAGATGTCGATCCAATTTATTTTTACGTAATTTTCAATTTTTCAAATTTTTATTGAAAATATGAAAATATGATTGTGCTTCTGCTGTCTTTTCAGATATTTTTTATGGAATCTTACAAGTACTTGTCAATTTTATGGGATCCATTCATTCACAAAAGAAAATGTCAAAACATAGCTTTTGAAAATGAAAATGCTAAAAACATTTTTTTTTTTACTTTAATATAGGTTTAATATAGTTCGTAGAGAGATTAAAAGATTAGTAAACTCACTTCTGTTCAGTCTAACTCACAAAGGAATTGCATGTTTGCCCCAAACTCTGACTTTCTAATCCATTTATCTTTTCAACACAATGCTGTGGTCCTTTGATATTTTAAACTATGAATTACGTTAGATCAAATAATCTAAGTTTGAAATATCAAAGGTTTACACCATTAGGTTGTAAAGATATAGTGATTAGAAAATTTGAGTCTAGGGCAAGGGCTAAAAAAAAGTTTTAGCTACGACTAGTCAGTTTAAGTATGTAGATCAACTCCATCTCATTTAAAAGTTGCCAGCTCTCTGTGAAATCTAACCACCCTGTTAATAATCCCGTTAAAACCATGATTTCCAGTTGAATAATTTCAACAAGATTCAAGGTTAGGAAAATAAAGAAAATATTGTCCTACAATGCGTTAAAATAAACTGAACTTGAAAACAACAAAATAAAATATTTCAACACAATAAATATCGATCTCCCGGAAGAAAATACATATATTTAAATAGATACAGTGTCATCCAATCCATACAGGATAAGACTTTAACCTTTAGTTCATTGTATTTTAAGATTATTAGGTCGTTTTTAAATCTTTAGTGGGTAACCCTGTATATATAAAATTATGAGGTGCAATGATAATTACGGAAACCTAGATATTTTTTATATTTTGAAATAAATTCTTCAAGCTCTTCTAGATTAGATTTGTTTCAGCCGCTAGTTGAGCAAGCTGAGCATATTTTGAATTTTCCATTCTGTTGTTTTTATGTCAAGAAATTTTGAGTTTATACACGTGCCACCTTGCTTGATTTTACAACAGAAACTTAAAGTTTATAAGTATATATAAAATATAAATATATAAAATATAAATATCTGTAAAATATAAAATATAAATTTATAGGATAACAACTTAAAATGCATTTTTCTAATTAAAAATTAAAAATTAAAAATGTATTAAATGTTCGCAATAAAATAAGAATATAATTTTAACTATACATAATTTGGTTTAATCCCAATGTACTCTCAAAGGAATATACAATAATAAACCCCCTACCGTTGTTTACATAAAAAGTGTACTGCAGTTTCTGGAAGGAATTAAAAAATTTCTCTTCGAAACTACAGTATATTCATTGTTTTACCAAAGATATGGGGGTTCGTAGTGTACACCCTATACTGTACTGTACTGTGCTGTTACCTGTGTACACAATGTGCCGCAGTAGCTATGTACCAATGGTTTAAAAGTACACCCCCACATTGATATGAGCTTATCCGAATATGAACCTACAAATAAAATAATTAAATGACATGAATGATAGTTAGAAAATAATTATTCTAGAAGGTCGAATTATTAATGAAATAATCTTATAATTGCACCCGACTGAAAAGTAGCGAAACGTTTACTTTATCAAATTCATTTTCTCCAGGGTCAACCATTGTGTCAAAACCAGTGACACAAGGTATAAAACCTTAGATGATTTGAAACCTTGAAATAAGTAACATTCCTATAGATGGCTTAAAATTAAATCCCTTAAATAAGTAACAGACCTATAGATGGTTTAAAATTAAATCCTTTAAATAAGTAACAGTTCTAAAGATGGTGTAAAACCTTAAAATAAGTAACAGTCCTATATATGGTTGTAAATTAAATCCCTTAAATAAGTAACAGACCTATAGATGGTTTAAAATTAAATCCTTTAAATAATTAACGGTCCTAAAGATGGTTTAAAACCTTGAAATAAGTAACAGTCCTAAAGATGGTTTAAAACCTTGAAGTAAAGAACAGCCCTCTAGATGGTTTAAAATTAAATCCTTTAAATAAGTAACGGTCCTAAAGATGGTTTAAAACCTTGAAATAAGTTACAATCCTATATATGGTTTAAAATTAAATTCTTTAAATAAGTAACGGTCCTAAATATGGTTTAAAACCTTGAAATAAAGAACAGTCCTATAGATGGTTTAAACTACTTGAAATAAGGAACAGTCTTATAGATGGCTTAAAACCTTAAAGTATAGGAACAGTCTTGCAGGTCGTTTAAATCCATGAAATAAGGTACAGTTCTAAAGTTTTAAATCCTTATCCTAAGGAACAGTTCTATAGATGGTTTAAACTACTTTAGATAAGGAACAGTCTTATAGATGGTTTAAATCCTTAAAGTAAGGAACAGTTCAATAGTTGGTTTGAAATCTTGAATTAAGGAACAGTCCTCGAATTGGTTTAAACATCTTTAAATAAAAAACAGTCCTATAATTGGTTTAAACAACTTTAAATTACAGTCCTATATATGGTTTAAACTACTTGAAATAAGGAACAGTCCTATAGACGGTCTTAAATGTAGTTTAAACCCTTAAAATAAGGAACATTCCTTTATAATAGGTGTCTTGAACCCTAAAAATGTTCACTATTGTGAAATTTGTCCCAAATCTTTATATAAGATCTAGGCTGGATTAGGATCAAAAGTAAAATGTCATTCTATTTTACAAATGTATCTTTTAGTCAGGCATAACCTATACCTACATCATGGGCCCAATTCACAACGGTACCCTTTAAGCTTTGTCTCATCAAGAATAAATGAGACTTCTATTCTATACAGGGTGTCCCAAAAAACATGGGAATTCAGTGACGAATTCGATATCGTCTTTTTTAAAAATTCTTTGATTTAGTATAGTGATACCTAATGAGAAAGCTGTAATCTGTAAGAGTTTCGTCTGCTATGTTTACAATTTGTTTGTTTATGTTTTGACTGCATACGGTTGTACTTAGTAAAACAAGAAAATTGCAGTATACAAACAGTAAACTTGTCCGTCTTCACTGTTCATCTTGCGGAGACATTATAGACACATCTTTACAGTCTTTTACCGTTTTCATAAAATAAACTCTAGCAGACATAATAATATTATTGCTTTTGAAATTAGGTATTGCAATGCTAATTCATAACAAAGACGATATTGAATTCGTCACTGAATTCCCATGTTTTTTGGGACACTCTGTATTTGTCTTTTTTTTAAACTTGTTATTTGGAATTTATGGTTTATCTGCAAAAGTGACTTGCGCATTTATGTCGCAGAAAAAGTAGAGGAAATGATTAAAACAGCTAGTCGTTTGATGTAAAGGAAGCGGGTCTTTGTCAAGTCTAGAGAATTTTATATTCTATTTTCATTTAAAATTTAGTCTGAAAAAAAAAATTATGATAAATCATGAATTGGTTCAAACTGGCAGGTTGTAGGATTATCTATCTGTAGATTAAGTTTTACAGCGGAGCTAAATGGATAGAAACCATGACAATGATTTGTCAAATCTTCAGACCTTGGTCGTTTCAGTAGTTTAATTCTTTATCTTTCTGCCTGGAGAAGATATTGCAGTATAAATCCTTCCACACCAAACTCATTACAATTATAAGATATTGTACAGTATTTCTTACTCTCTTATTCCATTCCAATTGATTCTTATTTCTTACTCGAATACTTTTATTCCAAAAACTTTAATTTTTATTCCATTTACTTTCATTTTTATTCTATGAACTCTCATTTTTATTCAATGTGCTCTTATTTTATTCCATTTACGCTCATTTTTATGCCAAAAGAATGCTTTTATGTATTCCAACGTTGATGTCTTCCGTAAAGATCTTGATTTCATTCTAATGTAAGCGATTTTTATTTTAACTAGCGCTCAAATTTGTATTTTACGGCTCTCATTTTGATTCCAGTGCTCTTATTCACCTTATTGCTTTTATTTTTACTCATGGGTTCTAATTTACAATCCAGGAATCTGAAATTCATTTTATAGCTCTCGTTTTGATTCCAGAGATGAGATTTTAAAAGCTTAAACCCGACTAAAACCCAAACTCGGGCTTAGATAGAACCCAAGGCAGGATTGGTTCTGATTCGACCAATGAGAGACTGTTTTGCAAGCGTTCTCTCTGTAGCAGACAGAATGCCGTCAGATCAGCTGTGACAAGGAGATGTAAATTTCGATAATTCAAACTTTATGAAAATACATTATTTTCATAGTATATGTTTATTTTATATAATTAATAAAATTTGACACCACAAATAATTCCCAAGATTTTAAATGTACAAATATAAAAGATTTTATGAAATTTATGATCTTCAGCTGCTGAAGACTCGAGCCTTAAAGAGAGTAAAACCCAAGAGGGTTGGTTCTTACTAAACTCAAGGCCATCCAAAACCCGGGTCTTGACTAGAGCTTTACTTGGGTCTAAGCAGACGCAAAGACCGGGTTTTAGTCGGGTTTAAGCTTTTAAAATCTCATCTCAGGACTCTTATTTATATTCCTGTGCTCTCATTTTCATTTAAGAACTCTCATTGTCATTTGAGGACTCTCATTGTCATTTGAGGACTCTCATTTTCATTCCATGACTTTCATTTTCATTAAATACCTCTCACTTTCGTGCCAGGAATCTCAATGTCATTCACGGACTCTCATTTTCATCCGAGGACTAACAATTAAGCGAAAACAAACATTCATGTTACAGAATGAGGTAAGAATTGTGCCTAGGTTGAGGTTGGATATTTTCCCAGTTTTCTCATGGGAAAAACATGACACAGCCTGACATGCTCGCATACACAACTGGAACAGTTAATCATGCAAGAGAACTCCATTGATCTTGAGATATCCGTCCTTGATGTTAAACATAATACTTGAATATTAATTGTTCCTCCTACAAGTTTAATGGTTTCAAAATAGGCCTCGGGTGGGAAAACAAACGGTTTCCATGCAATAATAAATTAACATAACATTTTAGGAAATCACGAAGCATGGTGCCACACAATAAATTGTAAATAAAACAATTTTTATTTTTTTATTTTAAACTCCTAAAAGTGCTCAGCGAATTTTTACTATATAAGCAAAATAGTAACTGCACTTGTAATGTTTTAAATAATGGTATTTTTGACATTAAGACCATTTATTTATTTATCATATTGGGGTCAAACATAACTAATTTTCAAATTTGTTCCAAAAGTTTTGGTCTACGTGACACAAGCTATATAAACTGCAAAATATTGCATATTTTTTAATATATATATACACATATATAGATACTGATACTAACTGGAGTACCCTGTTTATATTATTATTCTAGTCATAGTTAACACCGCCGTTTATCCCCGCTTGGTTTTAAATCATGATTTCAGCTGAAGAGCTCGGCGTTGCCTGTGGAATTTCAAAAATTTCTAAATTCTAATCTACGCCACCCCCAGAGCACTCCGGAATGGAGTGGTTTGGCCAGCAATAATGAACATATAAATTAGCATATAATATGAGCGAAGAGCTTTATCATAAAGATATATACATGAGCTTCTATTACTAAATATACCTTGTATCAGGACAATGTTCTAATTTAACCATTAACAATCATTCTCAGCATATATTCTTTAAAAGGATGCAAAAAAAGATTATTTTTTAATAAAACTTTAAAAGTTAGATACTTTTAAGATATATTTTAATCTCAACTAAACTTTTGAACTTTTGTTTGAATTGAATAACCCTGAACTCAATATTCATTACAGACAGTTAATTTGAAGCGATTAAGCACTTAATCCGTACTTAATCTTCGTATTTTAGCGGTATCTCTTCGCGCCCATCTTCTATTTCATCTTTTAATTGTGGCTTTATCTCTGAACATCTTCTCTTTGTACAGTATAAAACAAAAACAAATAAAGTTTGCGGATTTCATAATATTTTTTGCGCATTTTCAAAATTTTTCAAAAATAAAAAACTTTTAAACACAAATTTTTAAAATTTTGATCATTCATAAACCTTCCCTGGGGTCACGTGAGGTCCCACAACAAAATTTGAGCCCGATCGGTTCAGCCGTTTTGACGTTTATTGGATACAAACGGACAGACAGACTAACAGACAAGCTAAGTATATATAACTAGCCTTAGAGGGCGCTTCGCGCCCATCTTCTAAATTAATTGTGAACATGTTCTCTTTGTGTACATCGTAAAACAAAACAAAAATAATTCGCGGATTTTCACAAAAAATTTCATGGATTTTCAAAATTTTAAAAAATTTAATGTCGATCGAATTTTGATGGAGACAAATATTTGAAATTTTGATTCATAAATTCATAAACCTTCCCTGGGGTCCCTAGATGTCCCACAAAAAATTTGGGCCCGATCGGTTCAGCCGTTTTGACGTTTATTGGATACAAACACCCAGACAGATAGACAAACAAACAAACAGACAAGCCAAATTTATATATAAAAGATGACTAAACCACTGTTGTTATGTTGCATGGTTGATACTGTTTCTTTAAATAAATTTCCTACTTTATCTCCTAATCTTACTTTTCCAATTTCATTTCCTAACTCAGAAACCGTTTCTACTTTTTTTTTAAGCTTTATTATTTTTCAGTTAATGTTCTTTTTTTATGACTTCCTCCACTAACAACAAATTTTACAGAAATTTATCCGTCTATACCTTCCACCCCCAACCCTACCTGCCATTTTTAGTTTGCTGCTACATTGCCTTGAATCCTCTCTGATATATCTTATATAAACCTCTCTGATATATCTTATATAAACCTCTCTGATATATCTTATATAAACCTCTCTGATATATCTTATATAAACCTCTCTGATATATCTTATATAAACCTCTCTGATATATCTTATATAAATCTCTCTGCAGTGTAAAATTTATCTCTTTATCTCTTAACATTTGTTTTTGCTTCTCAACTCATGAATATGTTTTACTAGACAAAATATTCCTCTTCAAATAAAATATTAAAAAACAATGTTTTCAAGATTTTTTTTAGGATGATTTTTTTTCAAGGAACTTTGTTTGTTCTAGCCGGATTAAAATGAATACCTAGTGAATTCGGAACACTCAATTCGCAACATCGAGGGTACACATAAAATTCTAGTTTCAAAAAGATTTTATAATTTAAAACTGCGCTGTAAATCAACATGTTTTTGAATTCTTTATTCTTGATTTTTATTACTCTGGTTCTTCAAAACTAGATTCATAAAAAAAAACATCGATTAGAAGTAATGGCAATGGTGTTTTTAAAAAAAATCTTAATTTTTGGAATACAGATTTTGGTATAAAAATAGTTGACAATAAAAAATGTATTTCGAATGTTATCTAACCTGCCAGGGCAGCTCGGCAAACTTAGCTGTTTCACCTCCAATAATACGCTTTGCAAACTGTCTGTGCCTGGAACAAAATAAAAAATAAAAAAGGGTTTACCAAAATTTAAAGTAAAATGTACCATTAATGATTCACAAAAGTAGTATTTAACTTTTATCTTTAAAAAAAAATTAATACGTATTTAAAACTTTTTTAATCTATATGTCTTTGCAACCTGACGGTGTAAACACATGATACCTATCCAAACATTCTGTATATAATTACGATCACAAAGATTTTTTCTTATCGTGCACGATTTTTTAAGCAACAACGAGGAAGAAAAGAACCAAACTTGTCATATTCCACGATTTTGTTTTTATTCTAGAAAAATTATATTGAAATAGTGTTTGACAAATGAAAAGCAGAAATTTGTTTTTAGACTTTTATGGCGCTTCGCCATCTTTTTCAATATACTATTTCAGCTTTTAGCTGGTTTTCAAGACATCATTTTTTCTTCGAATCTCATAAAACTAAAAATGTCGCGGATTTTCCAGTTTACATTAATGAAATTAATGAAACCATCCCGGGAGCCATGAGAGTTACCAAAATAAATTCGGAACCGATTAGTTATGCCGTATACGTTAAGCAAAATATATACGATCTTTTAGACATTGTAGCACTTATCATGTTTGAATTTTTAGCTATTGAACATTTTTGATCAATTGATATCAATTAAAGGTACGTAGCACAAAAATTGTAGGTAAGTAGTACACAAATTGAAAAATCAAAAACAGTTGAAGTTTGACATTTTGGCTTCAATGTCTGAAAGATCGTTTTGTTGTGACACCCTATATAAAGATGAAAATTTACAAAAACATTTTGCAGTTAGAGAACATCATGGAAAATGAAGAATTTGATGCATCTTCTAACATTGAATGAAATTGTTTGGTTCAAAGTAAGAAATATTATATCTTTCTCTTAGTGAATGCAGAAACACGAAACTAGGGCGAACAAATGTAAACAATGAAAAGGGGGATGAAGAAATGTAGATTTTAGAATAAGATTATATGTTTCACCCCCCCCCCCCCCNGGTTGGGGGGAAGGGAGGGGGAAAGTTTTGTAATACCTCAGGACCATTTTCATCTGGAGAGACAATAAATGTTTTAAAATTAGCCAAATTCAAACCGTTATACCTTCATGCTTCAAGAGACTGTCGGCGTAATTTAAACTGGGCCTCCATTTAATGAGTTACATTACCCAATTTGAAACCTTTACTTGAGTAACAATGAGGAAGAAATCTTCGTTTTTACAATTAAAAAATTAAAGATTCTGTAAAATTCCTCCCTTGTTGCTCTTGCATAAATCTGCAATCGACGAAAGTCCCTTGAAGAAGTTTTGCAAGAAAATTAGATTTTATTTTATATTCAATACACACTCAGACCAGACACGTCGTCAGACTGAGAAATAGACGAATCTAATAATATTAGACACGTATACACACTGAGAAATAGAAAAATCTAATAATATTAGACACGAATACACACGTCTAATGCATGAAAGTTTTCGGAGAAAATCTGTCATTTTGCAAACACAATAAAGATCCTTCTAACGTTCCTCCATTCGTATTTTGGTCATGTATAAAATAAACCAAAGCGTTGCAGTTCTATCTTCACAAAATGAAGAAGAAAAGAAATTTTAATTATTCTTCCTCCTCGAGTTTAGGATGGTTTAGTTTCTCCGGGTCTGTATAGAAACATTAAAAACCATCTGCTTAAGTTTATGCACTAGACATATTCTGCTAATTGAATCAAAGAACACGTAACATGAAGAAAAGAAAGTTAGAACAAAAGTTTATTGGCTTAAGCTTTAAAATCTAAAATCTGGACCAGAATTAGCAAAGGAATTAAGTCTTTCTCACAAACTCGAATGTTCTAATTCCTATATATTGCAACCTGATGGTGTAATTCTTTGATGTTTCAAACGTATTAGTTGATCTAACAGAATTCATAGTTTGAAATGTCTGAAGTCTCCAGCATTGGGTTTCAAAGATATAGGGATTAGAAAATCAGAGTCTGCGGCAACGACTCAAATCCTTTGGTTTCAAGTACACTAAGAATAAATCATTTTCTCAAAAACTGGCTCGAAGACGACCTTACACTTTTAAATTATTAAGGATTATACATTGTAACATAATGTTTGCAGCAATAAATGTAGGTAAGCTTCCAATCCAAGTTTACATCTGTTAAGTGTTTCTGGTACTTTCCCAAATTAAGGCCTTTCCCCAGGGAAACTTCCCAAGTGACAATTTCTTAAGTAGCAACTTCTGAAATGTGCAATTTACCATGCGGCAATTTACCAAATGTACATTTTAGGTTTGGCCTAATTAGGCGCCGAAGGCTGCAATACGGCTAGAACAGGCTAGGGATGTTACCGTTAGGGAAATTTGACATTTGGGAAGTTGCCCTCTGAAACATGCCGCTTGGGAAAATGCTTTCGGTAAAGTACCTAACATAGTTTCTGGGTACCTGGATATCCCACACTCTGGTTCCTGGTGCAACCAGTCCTGCCCTCTCTTCTCCAGGGGATCAATCTCTCTCCGTCCTAGCTCAGGAGGTTTACAGCAGGAGTACATAAACGATTCACAACCTTGATATTAAACAACAAATTATTTACATGTTTCAAGGGGATCGTTTTGATATTTTACATAGTAATATGCTACCAATTATTAAGTAGCACTTGATCTTGATTTAAATCAAGGATTAAATGCAAATCGATTTCAGTCAAGAATATGCTGGCAAATATCAAGTATTCAAGATGTGATCTTGATTTCAGTCAAGGATGTGCTACCAATCATCAAGTAGCTTCTGGTTTTTGAATTCAAGGAAAAATATATTTCAAAATCTTATTTTTTTATTGTAGAGCTATTGAAACAATGGAGTTTAAAGAACGAACTGGAAATCTTAAAAAACTAATCATTAGTAAAGTGGTAACCAGAATACAGTGGAATGCTTGTCGTCTTAATTCTTTTTTAATTTTGTTACTTCATTATTTTTTTTTTGGAATCAGGTGAATAACAATAAATGTAGGTAAGCTTCCAATCCAAGTTTACATCTGTAACAATAAATGTAGGTAAGCTTCCAATCCAAGTTTACATCTGTAACAATAAACAATGTGAATAAAAAACAATTTTACCAATAGCGAAAATAATAGCAAAGACGACAACCAATCCATAGTTTTGGGAACCACTGTATGAAATTACTATTTACTCTCTAAAATTGGCAACATTGCTAACACCCTTCTTTACAAGAAAAAACTCAGTTTCCTTGCTGCTGCTTGGTTCTGTCCTTGATCCTCCCTGAACCCTATCCCTACTCCCTAGTTACTACTCCTGGTGTGAAAATGAACTGTGTATCCTCCCTGAACCCTATCCCTACTCCCTAGTTACTACTCCTAGTGTGAAAATGAACTGTGTATGACATGTAAATGACAGGTCCTTGTAATTGTTCAGATACCGTGTATATATATAGAGCCAATCATTCTCACGTATCCACCATCCAGACCATATTAGGAAATCACAATTCTTTCACATTCTTCAAATTTCAGCCTTCTAAACTTAGATTCAAACTGTCCATATTTTGGTCTGTAATTTTTCTAATCTCACTTTCATGTTTTTTCCTCTCCTTTCCAACTAGAAGTCGATTCATAGTTACCCATCATGTTGCAAAGATTTATGAATTAGAGAGTAAGAGTTTGAGTTAATTGTTTCGTTACATTCTGGGCGAATGTCGAGAATTTTTTTCCCACCCTTTAAACAGATTTTTCTTCATATGACTCAACCATGTTTTCTATTTGCATACTTCGATTTCTTGATACAAGTTATTTCAGTTGATATACTACTGGCCTTGCATGATGTTCTAGTCTATTGTAAACGAGATACTAATACATTAAAAACTAATAAGATAACAGGAGAAAATTATAAATATTTATATGGAAGACATTTAACAATAAATCAGTACTTAAAGGAATTGAGTCTTTGCCCACAAACTCTAAATTTTTAATACTTTTATCTTTGCTTAACCCAGTGTTTGTAGCAAAGAATCAATTCCTTTAAAAAAAATTCTATTACTGAAAAAAGTTTGGATAAATATCTTATTTATTCACCTTCCGATACTACACCCCCTGTCAACCAACAGACAGGGGCAAACGTACAGGCATACTGTTGACCCCCCTCTAAACAATGTTCAGGGGCTCCGAATAGACCTCGAACACCTTTAATAAATCCCCCTTCCTCCTCCTCTAGTGCCCTGGGTGTCCCCTTGAAATGGTTGATTGTGGAGGAGGGGCGAGATCGGAGTTTAATAAACTGAGGGAATCCCTGGGACTGGGAGGCGGAGTAGAGTCTCTCCGCCCTACTCTCCGGGTGCCCCCGTAACTCAAAGGCGGAGTAAAATCCCTCCGCCCTGCTCTCTGGGTAACCCTGAACAGCTTGGAGTCTGGGAACCCAATACCAGCGTCTCCGACGTCTCCGGCGCAGAGGTAACCATGTTCGTCTCCGGTATGCTCGAGAACCAGAAATATCATTATCTATCACAGGGTTGAGTATAGAAGGTGGGGGTATAGTAGGAGGGACTAGAGAACGTCCCTGGACTATAGGAGACCAGGAATGATCTGCTCCAACTATACATTGTGTCAATATAACTAAAGAAATAAGATCTGATATAGGAGTATAGTACATACTGACATGATCCCTAGGGATCAGGGCAGGCTTCTCTACCCTCACACTTGATCACATTGCACAGATGCGCGCGGGAGCACGGATACGGTAGAACTGACCTGATGTGAGCGCTCGTATACGCACACTCTCACTACTCTCAAGTACATGGGGAGGGGGAGGAGAGGAGGAGGGGGGGGGGATATCCCGTAGTAGAGGAAATGATATACCCAGGGGAAATTTTTATTTCAGTGAAATCACCCAATAGAAGAATACATACATTGAACTTTCTTAATGGATTCTAAATCAATAAATTCTCAGGGTTGTTCTTTAGTTCTTACTTAACATTTTTTTACGCTTGCAATGTTTTACAATAAAAAAATACGCAACAAAATTCAGAATGGCATTTTTCGAAAACAAGAGATTTTTCAATATGGAACCCTTTGGAAATATTGAAAAAGAAAATGAGCATTTAAAATGAGAAAAGAGTATTTAAAAATAGAAGATAGTATTTAAAAAGAGAAAAGAGTATTTAAAAATAGAAGAGAGCATTCAATAAAGAGTAAAGAATATTCAAAAAGAGAAAAGAGTATTAAAAAAGAGAGCATTCAAAAAGAGAAGTAAGTATTAAAAAGAAACGCGAGTATTCAAAAAAGAAGTGAGTATTGTGTAAGATATTGTGTAGAAGTTAGATCTGGTTTCTCTATATTGTATTGTGTATGTTATATTGTAGGAGTAAGATCTGGGTTCTCTATATTGTATTGAGTATGTTATATTGTTGGAGTAAGATCTGGGTTCTCTATATTGTATTGTGTATGTTATATTGTAGGAGTAAGATCTGGGTTCTCTATATTGTATTGTGTATGTTATATTGTAGGAGTAAGATCTGGGTTCTCTATATTGTATTGAGTATGTTATATTGTTGGAGTAAGATCTGGGTTCTCTATATTGTATTGTGTATGTTATATTGTAGGAGTAAGATCTGGGTTCTCTATATTGTATTGTGTAAGTTATATTGTAGAAGTAATATCTGGGTTCTCTATATTGTTTTGTGTAAGTTATACTATAGGAGTAAGATCTGGGTTCTCTTTATTGTATTGTGCAAGTTATATTGTAGGAGTAAGATCTGGGTTCTCTTTATTGTATTGTGTAAGTTATATTGTAGGAGTAAGATCTGGGTTCTCTTTATTGTATTGTGTAAGTTATATTGTTGGAGTAAGATCTGGGTTCTCTATACTGTATTGTGTAAGTTATATTGTAGGCGTAAGATCTGGGTTCTCTATATTGTATTGAGTATGTTATATTGTAGGAGTAAGATCTGGGTTCTCTATACTGTATTGTGTAAGTTATATTGTAGGCGTAAGATCTGGGTTCTCTATATTGTATTGAGTATGTTATATTGTTGGAGTAAGATCTGGGTTCTCTATATTGTACGTGTAAGTTATATTGTAAGAGTAAGATCTGAGTTCTCTATATTGTACGTGTAAGTTATATTATAGGAGTAAAATGTTGGAGTAAGATCTGGGTTCTCTATATTGTACGTGTAAGTTATATTGTAAGAGTAAGATCTGAGTTCTCTATATTGTACGTGTAAGTTATATTATAGGAGTAAAATCTGGGTTCTCTATATTGTACGTGTAAGTTATATTGTAGGAGTAAGATCTGAGTTCTAGTTAATCTATATAATAGCAATATCTTTAAAACATCTCTGTACATTTATATCTTTCAAGATGAAAAATGTCGTCTTATGCGTAATCTATCTTTATCTATGGTTCTCTATATTGTATTTTGTAAGTTATATTGTAGGAGTAAGATCGGGTTCTCTATATTTTATTGTGTAAGTTGAATTGTAAAAGTAAGATCTGGGTTCTCTACAGGGGCGGACATAAGGGTTCTGTAGGGGGGGGGAATTTTTTTTTTGAAGGGAAGGGGTCAAGGCAACTGGAACTGTTACTTGTAGAGGCAGCAAATGGAGTAACCCCTGGTATTCAGGGCCTGAATATATGTTCTGGGGTAATTACCCCTAGAATTCTAGGGGGGGGGGGTATTTACCCCCGGGATTCTAGGGGGGGGTATTTACCCCCAGGACTCCAGGGGGGGGTAAATAACCCCAATAACCCCCCTTATGGCCGCCACTGGTTCTCTATATTGTTTTGTGTATGTTATATTGCAGAAGCAAGATATGGGTTCTCTTTATTGTTTTGTGTATGTTATATTGTAGGAGTAAGATCTGAGTTCTCTATATTTTATTGAGTAATTTATATTTTAGGAGTAAGATATGGGTTCTCTATATTGTACTTTGTAAGTTATATTGTAGGAGTAAGATCTGGGTTCTCTATATTGTATTGGGTAAGTTATATTGTAGGATTAAGATCTGGGTTCTCTATATTGTACTTTGTAAGTTATATTGTAATAGAAAGATCTGGATTCTCTATACTGTATTGTGTAAGTTATATTGTAGGATTAAGATCTGGGTTCTCTTTATTGTATTGTGTAAGTTATATTGTAGGAGTAAGATCTGGGTTCTCTATATTGTACTTTGTGAGTTATATTATAGGAGTAAGATATGGGTTCTCTATATTGTATTGTGCAAGTTGTATTGTAATAGAAAGATCTGGGTTCTCTATATTATATTGTGTAAGTTATATTGTAGGATTAAGATCTGGGTTCTCTATATTGTACTTTGTAAGTTATATTATAGGAGTAAGATATGGGTTCTCTATATTGTATTGTGCAAGTTGTATTGTAGTAGAAAGATCTGGGTTCTCTATATTATATTGTGTAAGTTATATTGTAGGATTAAGATCTGGGTTCTCTATATTGTACTTTGTAAGTTATATTGTAGGAATAAGATATGGGTTCTCTATATTGTACTTTGTAAGTTATATTGTAGAGTAAGATATGAGTTTTCTATATTGCATTGTGCAAGTTGTATTGTAATAGAAAGATCTGGTTTCTCTATATTGTATTGGGTAAGTTATATTGTAGGTTTAAGATCTGGGTTCTCTATATTGTACTTTGTAAGTTATATTGTTGGAGTAAGATATGGGTTCTCTATATTGTATTGTGCAAGTTGTATTGTAATAGAAAGATCTGGTTTCTCTATATTGTATTGGGTATGTTATATTGTAGGAGTAAGATCTTGGTTCTCTATATTGTACTTTTTAAGTGTTTTTGTAGGAGTAAAATATGGGTTCTCTATATTGTATTGTGCAAGTTTTATTGTAAGAGAAAGATATGGGTTCTCTATATTGTACTTTTTAATTGTTATTGTAGGAGTAAAATATGGGTTCTCTATATTGTATTGAGTATGTTATATTGTAGGAGTAAGATCTGGGTTCTCTATATTGTATTGAGTATGTTATATTGTAGGAGTAAGATCTGGGTTCTCTTTATTGTACTTTGTAAGTTGTATTGTAGGAGTAAGATCTGGGTTCTCTATATTGTACTTTGTAAGTTATATTGTAGGAGAAAGATCTGGGTTCTCTATACTGTATTGTGTAAGTTATATTGTAGGAGTAAGATCTTGGTTATCAATATTGTATTGAGTAAGTTATATTGTAGGAGTAAGATCTGGGTTCTATATATTGTACTTAGTAAGTTATATTGTAATAGAAAGATCTGGGTTCTCTATATTGTATTGTGTAAGTTATATTGTTGGAGTAAGATCTGGGTTCTCTACACTGTATTGTGCAAGTTATATTGTTGGAGTAAGATCTGGGTTCTCTTTATTGTATTGTGTAAGTTATATTGTTGGAGTAAGATCTGGGTTCTCTATATTGTATTGTGTAAGTTATATTGTTGGAGTAAGATCTGGGTTCTCTTTATTGTATTGAGTATGTTATATTGCAGGAGTAAGATCTGGGTTCTCTTTATTGTATTGAGTATGTTATATTATAGGAGTAAGATCTGGGTTCTCTTTATTGTATTGTGTAAGTTACACTATAGGAGTAAGATCTGGGTTCTCTATACTGTATTGTGCAAGTTATATTGTTGGAGTAAGATCTGGGTTCTCTTTATTGTATTGTGTAAGTTATACTATAGGAGTAAGATCGTGGTTCTCTACATTGTATTGTATAAGTTGTATTGTAGGAGTAAGATCTGGGTTTTCTCTATATCCTAGTATGTCTACTATATGTCTGGGTAGTTGTGTATAAGTGGTTTCCCAAATATGCTTTATACTTTCACCACTATAGGCAATACACATGATGAGTTGGCAGATAGATAGATAGATATAAGCGTAAACAATAGATAGATAACTAGATAAATAGATACAGGAGTAAACAATAGAAAGATAAATAGATAAATAGATACAATATAGATAGACTAAATAGATAGATAGATAGATAGATAGGTAGAAGCGTAAACTATAGATAGTAAACTAGATAGATAGATAGATAGATACAGGCGTAAACAATAGATAGATATGTAGTGCCTCTTTATTTGATAGCAGAAAACGTACTGTATATTTATTGAATTCTAACGATACAAAGTTATTTTATTTAACTTGAAAATTACAGATATAATTTGGTTTGTATTCAAATCTGGAAGACGACAATGTTGATCCTCTACAGGGGTCCCCTTAGCATCAGCCTCGATCTTTTTGAAGAGAATGAGGTTTATATCAAACTGTCTGTCTTGGATTCCTGCTAGTTGGCAAAGAGGAGAATCTGTCAGGAGAACGTGGAACTAGATTTAAAACTAGGTGCGGTACGTACAAGTGACGGACCTGGAGGTTTCAGAGCCAGAGATTATGAAGCTGGAGGTCTTCCTTGACGAGGTGGAACTTGTGCTACCACAGGAAATTCTGACAGGACTGGTTTCAGTCAGTCCACAGATACAGAGTCCGTCTTGGAGCCAACCTGGAAGAGAAAAAACTTTGGAAAACGTTTTAGGACCAAGTAAGGACCTTAGCAGCATCTTCTTGAACAAATATGTGAGAACAGGACAATAAACTTGTAGGAACATTGTTTTCTGTTTCTGAACCAGGACTGTGAACTGAGTGGTGGGGCAGAGGAACTGGAATATTCTTCAAGATTTGCTGTAAACGTTGGAGATATTCAACAGAGGGAACCTCAGGGTTGTTGAGAAACTCTCCAGGCAAA